CTACAGTGAAAACTGGTAATAAATTAACGGCATTTACAGGACATTTTGGTAGAGTGTTAAAATCGTTTTGACACAGAATTCACAGTATTTTTGTCAGAACGGTGGCAGGGATAGTATTAAGGGGAGGTTCTACTGAAAATCTTACTTTCTTCAAATTGAGTCCCATTATCAATATTCATTGTAAATTTAAAGTAGTTCATAGTAAATAGTTAGATTGAAGTTTGGAGAGCAATACCTAGCCCCAACCCAGTCGAAGAGGAATTTTCTGCTATTTCCAGTCGTAACTTGAAAAATTCTCCTCGCAAAGTATTTCAACGTAAACTGATGTTCTGGGCATTTTTCACTTCTTTGGTTCATAATTGAAAACCGTGGCATTAGTAAGATACTGGGACCATTACAAAACCATAAGCTGTGTTTTTAGACAGCATGTCAATAAAATTTCAAGAAAATGTTAAAATTTTTAATATTTGAGTGATTTTTTTCTGAAAAGCAACGACAAAATAATTTGTTGGGTCCCATGTCTTGGTGATGCCACGCTTTATTGCATAGAGCCAAGAAGTGAAAAATGTCCAGAACATCAGTTTACGTTTAAATGCTTTGCGTAGGAGAATTTTTAAGATATTGCTACAATAGGCTGAAAAAACCTCTTCGACTGGATTTGGCGGGAGGTATTGGGCTCTAAATTTATGTTTGACCATTAACTATGTATTACTATACATCTGCAACAAATTTTTACACTGGGTCTCAATTTGAAAAATGCAATATTTCAGTAGAACCTCCCCTTCAAGAGACACGACTTGTATGCTGATAGATCGGAGAATGATTATTCGCCAAGGGCGGATCCAGGACGGGTTCAGGGGGGCGATGTTCAAAGCTAAATTTGAGGTTTTTAATTGGCTGAACGACAACGAAGCGCGTTCCTCCAGTGGGGTTAAAAAACTTTTACTGTTTGCGTTGTGTGCGTGCGTGCACTACTCCTCCTGAACGGCTCGGCTGATCTGACTGAGATTTTGCAGGGTCATTAGGTATGTCCTGGGCTCGCCACACACCAAAATTTAGCTTTCTATCTCAATCTGTTTGGTCATTTCAGACAAAAAACACTTCAAAACGGCAGAGAAAAGACAACTTTATAGGTACTTTCAACTTTTTGTCAAGTTTCATGCCGTTTTCTATGTTTTTGAGGGTGCTGATGACGAAATTAGAACCCATTCGGACCCCCGACCCAAAGTTAAGGCGGGACCCCGGTGACCGTTCACCCGCGACGGCTAAAGGAACTTAAAAAGTGTATTGACGGGAGTCTCCTTTTGCGAATACTCCTCCTTGCCATTTTCGTTCTGGTAATGTAGCACTTTGCCGAGAGATGTCACCACAGTCAGGTACTTCCAAAAAATAAAAGGGTCCTAGTTCTGGGTGGAAATCCCTATACCTGCCGTGCATTCTGGCCAGTGACGGACAGCGCGGTGCGTTTTGGCAGTGTCGATGGCCAGACAGTGCGGCGACAGTGCGGCGCGGCCGGTGCAGCCCGGGCCACGCCGTGCGCTCAAACAGATGTCATTGTCCGTCTCTGTCTCACCCGCACAGTGCAAGCGAGACGGCCGAGGCGGGGCATGGAGGGGGAAGCAGCGGCCCACTGGCGAGGCGCGCGGCTCACCCTGGAGTCCGGCGCGCTCCAGTTTCCAAATTTAAAATTTGAATGTGACTTCTGAGTTGTGGCGGTTGGGTACTATCAAATTCCTTTTTCTTTTACGGTCATTTTGACACCAGTTGAACAACGATTTGTAATCGGAGATAAAATTTCTCTTACGACCTTCAAATCCTCGCATCAGACAGCGTGGGTGGAACGTGTCACCCCTTTCCACTCACGAGGCCCCTTTTTGCCAAATTCTGGCCAGTGCGACGCGTGCAAGTCCTGGGGAGCTCGTTCGTGGCCTGGCTGGATCCAAGTCCGAGGCGGCCCGGCTCGCTCTCCAGGTCCTCGTCTGCGGCTCCGGCTTAGCGCGGGGGGAGAGGGAGAGGGGGGACGCGGCGCGAACAATGCCCGGCTGCAGGTCAGCTGTCAGTCATAAATGTGTCGCCCCGCCTCCACCGGCCTGCACGGAGTTCCGATACTTTCCGCCGCGCCACCTTCCACAGCACCGCAAAACGACCGCCAAGTTCAAAACAAGGAAAATGCGGCAAAAACAGGGTCTCAGCAGATCAACTCGATCTCAAGAAGGGCTGGGCCTAGAAAAAAGTGGCTTACAGATTTCGAAAGGGGAGGCCAGGGCCTAGGTCAACATGTATATGGCGATTCTTGAAACAAACAGCAAGTGTCCGAAATGACTGGCTGAACATTGGTCAAAAATTGGACACCTTTCGACACCCGATTTTAAGGCTAAAATTTTGTGACACATGTTTCGCGCATACCTCTTGACCTAGATCCTGACCTCCCCTTTCGAATTCTGTAACTGGTTTTTTTCTAGGACCAGTGGTTCTTTGGATCGAGTTGATCTAGTTTTGAGTTTTTGAAAGTTCAATAACTTTGTTCAAAATTGAGCCAGCTCAAAAATTTTTTGTGGCGCGTGTCCTTATTATGTCCTGAACCTGTGTGCCAATTTTCATCCCGATCCGATCCCTTCAAGTTTCACCCCGGTCCCGCCTTAAGTCCCATTAGTGTACATTTTGATGACCAAATGCAATTTTTTGAGGGGATCACGCCCATTTCTACGGTCTGTCTAGCAAAGCAGCCTGCCGAAGGCAGGCTAGCGCTGCAGGCCAAGGTAAGCTGTATACGCCAGGCGTGGAGTGTCGAAACATCACCAATGAAATTTGATCCAATTAAACAAGGTAGGTTTACGCCAGACTGCGTCTTGTCGTAACAGGCTTCGCGATGTCTCGCGGCCTGTTCCACCAATCCGCGCCTGGCGTACCTACCTACCTTGGCCTGCGGCGCTAGCCTGCCTTCGGCAGGCATTAGCTTGTCCGTCGGCGGTTGCTTCTTACTTGTTGCATGGTGGGGGGCCCCCCTTATTCTAGATAGAGTTCCTTCATCTACAGATAACACGATCTTGACCCTTGTAACTTTTTAACTCGTCGAAGCTGGGGGGCTCCGCCCCCCAGACCCCCCTTTCTTCAAGACAGAATTGATCTGCCTCCAGGAAACTCGATTTTTCGCCGTTTTTAAGGTGTTTTTCGCCTATAAAAACAGAACCACGTGAGCTAGGATAGTGAGATTTCGCGTGTGCCGAGCCAAGAACATACCTAACAAGCCCGCAAAATCTCAGCCAGATCGGCCGAGCCGTTCAGGAGGAGTAGTGTACACACACACACACACAGACAGACAGACAGACAGACAGAAAAAGTTTTTCAACCCCACTGGAGTAACAGGCTTCGCTATCGCTCAGCCAATGATTTAAATGAGGACAGATCACCAGGAAGGTTACCAAAGGAAGAATAACTCCAAAACCTGGTAAATACCGTAGAACGGGGTAATATGAGACAAATTTCGAGGTTTATTTGTGAATTTCCCCCTTCCAATTTCAATTTGAGGTACTGACAAGGGAACCTATTCAGGGGGTACAGTCAGATTACGACCAAACTTTTTTTTTCGTAAGAATAACATATAAGATTAAGAATGCACCCGAAAGTTGGTGCCAAGATATATATCTACACCCTTTACCAATTTTTTAAAACGTAAAAAAGGGGTAAAATAAGCCTTTTTTCATTGTATGGGTCATTTTCGGACATCGAACCGGAAAATTTGAAGTCGACTTTTTTGTCATTTCCTTCATTGTTTGGTCCCCTTGAGACGAAAATGAGAGAAAATTTCGGTCTGTTTCATATATTATCATATTTTGCACAAATTTGGTGCGACTGCCCAATTACGACTGAAAATCTGCTCGTTGCATGTAAAATCATGGGCCATTTTACCCCTTTTTTCGGTTTAAAAAAGTCAGGAGGGGTGTGGATATGTATCTTGGCACCAACTTTGGGGTGCATTCTTAATCTTATATGTTATTCTTACGAAAAAAAAAAGTTTGATCGAAATCTGAGTGTACCCCCTGAATAGGTTCCCTTGTGAGGTGTTCATCACTTGTTCATTGACCCTTTGGCTACACTCCCACCAAATTTCAGATTTTTAGGTGCAGTAGGGACCTTTCAATAACCCTCGGAATGCCGTCCCATCCCGCGTGCAAGGATCTGTAGTTGAGACTACAGTGGAAAAATATAGATTTTTTGTAAAAGTAAACTTTACTTTAAAATAACTTTTTTTATACTTAGAATGCTTTTAATGTATTCTATTATTGCAGTGGAAGTGTAAAAAACTGCAGTTGAAGTGTAAAAAACTAAAGTTAAACTGCAAAAAAACTACCAGTTATTTCGGACAACTATAGTTTTAGACCCCAGTTTGTCCCAGTTGACTATATAGTTCAAAGTACAGTTTTACTGTAGTTTATTTACACAGGTAGACTTGCTTTAAAAAAGAAAAGAGACTGCAGTTTGAATTTTGCGGTCAAAATTTAAGAAAAATAATTTCGGAGCCCTGTTTTGAGGGGACTCTTCCTCCCTCCCACCCCATGGGTAACAGAAGTTGTGTTGATTGTGTTTCTTGGGTGAATGTTGCCGGGAGTTGAACCTCGGATCCATCAGTTGCGAAGCAGAGGCCTTGACCACTGCTCCACTTTTTTTTTTTTTTTTTTTTTTTTTTTGAAAACATCAACATCAACTTCCATGTGGGAAAGGGCTTGGCCACTCGACCACATGGAAAGGCCTCAGATGCGCCCGTCAGGCCGCGCTGGCCGAGCCGAGTTGGTAGGGATGACTCCGCGACAACTAACCAGAGGCAAAACCGGGACAGCTAACCAGAGTTGACTGTAGTTTTCAAGAGAAAAAAAATCACAGTTTTTGAACATTTTTTAAAATTTATTTATTTACCTTTTCTTTTAAAACTGTTGCAGATGAAAAGCCCACTCCAGTCAATTCTATGACACTACTAGGGATAAGTCTGGCTTATTTTTTTTCCCACAGATCTGAGCAAGTATGCGAACAAAGCCCTACGAGAACCAAAATTTTAAACGTTTCTACTAAATTTCCAAAAAAGTGTCCAAAATCACTTCACTTTATGTCAAAATGAAGCTTACTCAATTATCTAAAAGGGTTTTAATACAGAAATAATAAAACCTTAACCCTTAACACCAAATTACAAAGTGCTTTTAATATGTATGAGCCCCCTTATGTCTGTCCGTTTGTGATGACCTAATCTAGGGCCTACACTACGTTCTTGTTCGCTTAAAATCATGCGTGGGTGGTTTCCATCGAAACGTACATCTTCGGAAACGTAACCTTAGTAGCAAGCTTTCTGCCGAATCCATAAATTGACTTACGTGGCTACTGTATCGGGAAAACGAAAGCCAAGGATAAAACATGGACGTTAGTATGAAAACGGGTTCACCGGGTAGAAGTTTGTCTTGAATCCGCACTAGTAGATAGGATTATTCTCTAAGAGGCCTTTAATGTTTCAGTCTTGGCCCTACGGCACGAGATAACATCGGGTCTCAGCCGAGTACGTGATGCCAAAACCTAAGTTCAGATTCATTCGTCCAACGTTCTGCAAGGCACACGGCCTTCCATCGATAAACTTCAGTTCAACGAAGTGAGTGCACTCAGGCACCAGGCGCCATGGCTATTCTTCCGAACTTGTACACAAGTCGCTTAGGATGAGGTTCGAATGCCTCGTTCTTGTAGGTCCTAAAACAAGCGAATAAAAAACAACAGGTTAAAGACAAAGAACAAATAAAAACCCAAATTGAGGTAGCGTTGTAACTCTAATTCGTTTTGGGCCACTCGAGAGGTTGCTGATGCTAAGCATGACCAAATGTTAGTGACTTTTAGCTCAAGTGTCAACAAAATGGTCCTTTCTCGTTTTCAGAATCCCTATCAGCTGAATTGTAAACATGTTGGTCCAGTTGGTCCTTTGGTCCAGTCCTGGATGAAACAAGGCGCGAGCTATTGCCGAGGCCGAAGGTCTTAAACTGCAGGAAGAAGTGTGAATAGTACAACAAAAGTACAACAAAAACTATACCCCAAAAGTACAACGGCGATTGTAGAAAGTACAACGAGAATTTGTACAAACCACAACGAGGCCTGGGCTGCACAGCACTTGGCATGCTGGTCCCATTGTACTTTGTACAATAAAAGTTGTTCTTTGAAAGTACAATAAATTCCCAATAAAAAAATTGCCAGAAATTTGTGTACTTTTGTTGTGGTTCTTTTGTTGTGGTTTTTTCTTGCAGTGTAGGGGACCAAGCACCTTGCCAATGCAGTGTGGCCTATGCCGCCACCTTGCATTTGCCATGCAATGCAACCACAAAGGTGTATGGACGTATCTATCTTGTACTGCATTTATAGTGACCAAAAGTTTGTCAAAACTTAAGCGTCCAAGGCGCCTTGAAATAAGCCTACTTTAGGTGTCTCCTAGCGAGGCACCATAGCGCTACAAAAACTGAGGTAAGAGCAGCATTGACTACACTCAAAGCCATGCAACGTAAGCAGCATGTACTGTATACATGGCGAGTACAGCGCATTGGCTTTAGCATACCATATTAAGAGGATACTCTGCATACAATGTATGTTAACCTACCTCATGGTGCGGGTCATCTTCTCATAATTCATGGCCTGATTGCCCTTGTGCTGGCCCCACATCTCAGCCACCCGATGCCCGTGCACGAAACAGAAAACCCCGTTTTCCTTGTCCTCCCAGCGGATGACCGCTGGGCTGTACTGCGCATCATTCAGTAGACGCAACAGAAACTGCCACAAGCGTCCTGCTGGAGCCGCCTGCCGTGCGCGGCCGTTGGGGCGGCGCCCTGAGTTGGGATTGGTGGAGCGCTTCTGACGACCGCCGCGCCGTCGTGGTGGTGCTTCTGAAGAACATGTTGAGTCCTCCGAGATGGTCCGGGTCCTCAGGGTACCGCGGGCCTCTGCGGGCGCCGCCGCTTCTGTGTGGGCAGTGTATGCGTTAGTTCCGTTGCCAAGGGACAGCTTGCAGTAGGCATATCACGGTCTTGGATTAAATTTACTTTCTAGATGCTACAATACTTAGTATTTTTAGCCTATATAAGGTGTCATACGAGGAATCATTTCGTAAATAAATTACGAGGTATTTTCTTTGTAAGCTTATGTATTCTCCAAATATTTAGCTACTTTTCTTTGTAAGGCCTAAAACAGTTTATAAGGTTTTCAGAGTGTACTGCGAATGAAGTTTGACTGGTGATTTTAATCGGAAGTAAAACGGTGCTGTTACTTTGCACGAAAAACTTTTTGCTCTCCTAACTGCTACTTTGTTTCTAAAATAACGAACTTAAAAGGAAATAAAAGAAGTTGGTTTCAACTGAAAATAGTATGCACACCACAAACCTAACTCTCTACTAAGTACACACTTACAAAATGCATGCTTGCAAGTACACTCTTACAAACGCATGCGTGGCCAAGTACACACTTACAAATACATGCTTGTCAAGTACACACTCTCAAACGCATGCTTGGCGCATGCTAAGAATAGGCGTTTGTAAGTATGTGCTTGACAAGCATGCATTTGTAAGTGTGTACTTGGCCAAGCATGCGTTTGTAAGTGTGTACTTGCAAGCATGCATTTGTAAGTGTGTGAGACACTGAAAAAACAATGTCCTGTCAATGCCGTTAATTTATTACCAGTTTTCACTGTAGGTCAGTTCACAGCGTTTACTGTGATCTGCTCACGCGATTCACTGTGATCTTGTTCGCGGTGTTCACTGTGGTCTGGTCCACAGTAAAAACTGTGAGTTTGACGCCGCTGAGCACCGAAGTACTGCAAATCAGGCTCCAATTCACGGCGTTTACTGTGGCCAGTTCACAGTGAACACTGTGACCGAGATCACAGTGAACGCCGTGAACTAGTTCACAGCAAACGCCGTGAATTGCATAACAGCAAACATTGGTAATAAATTAACGGCATTGACAGGACATTTCTTGTACAGTGGAGTTTGGTTTGCAGTGCACAGTCTATTCGAATGCATGAGGGGGCATTGGGCTTCTCGAGCAATGCGAAAGTAATACGGTACAAGTAGGCCAACAAAAACGGGTTTAAACGCATTGTACTCGAACTCTCAGCGTTTGTATTGTCAGTGAGTGAAGGGCTAAAAAAAGTTACTGGTATTTCTCACGACAGCAGATATATACGGTCAATTACCTAGCGGTAGGAGACGGCCTGTTGCAGCCGTGCTGTTTGTGATTGATGCAGAAGTCATGTTTCCGGAATCCCATGACTGCAACAAAACATACGCCTCGCGTCAACGCCACAGCCCTTGTTTCCCAGGGTTTACGAAAAGTTGGAGCAAAAGCACAATAAAATTTCCTTAGAACAACAGGGCGAATCCAGATCAACTTGAACGGGGTTTGACCCCGACCCCCTCAGAACTTGCTCCAAACAGTCTTAAATCATTGGTCTATACCTAAATTCACCCCCCAAAAAATTTGGTTGAAAAATATTAACATTTGGCTGAGCTGTGGCACTTTTTGTTTTTTGGTCAATTTTAGTGAAATTAGTACAATGAAAATTTGAAAGAACAATTTTTTCTCGAAATGGGGACTTTTGAGGCCTGATTTGTTTGATATGAGTTGTCTTATGATAGACCAATGCAATTCCGGTCATAGACGCCACCTCACTCAATTTGCACTGAAAGCTTAAGAATTTCTAGTAATTTTACCTAAAAATCGAAATATTAAACCTTGCCCTACCTTTCAAAATTCATTTCTATGCCCAACAACGATTAAACAAGCGTGGGAAGTATTAAAAAACAACCCTCTCATTCCAGGACCACGACATCACGTTGATACTAACGTGACACAATGGCACGTTCGTTTGAGCATTGTGTCACACACACTTAAATGTGAACAAGCTAATTTTTGGCCGATTCACATCCAAACAATGAACACAATGCTCAAACGAACGTCAGTCTCTCACCATTTAGTGCGAACCACGATATCTCACGCTTACAAGTGTGAGGCACGCGTCAAGGGGGAAATCACTTGTGTAATGGTCGGTCGAAGGGTCTGTAATAGCCCTGTAATGGCCCTGTAATGTGTAATACCGATGTAATGGCTGTAATATTGGTGTAATGCCTGTAATGGTCCTGTAATGCCTGTAATAGGTTGTGTAATAGGTGTAATATGTGGGAAGAAAAATACAGAAAATGACTAAAAAATTCGCGAAAGTCAGCGAAAAAGTCATTTGGCTGCAATAAAAGTAATACCCAACGTCCGGATCGACCCGAAAGCAAGCCGAAAGTGGCATGTGGGGTGGGGGAGGGAGGGCGGGACTCTAGTGGGGGCAGGCGAGATAGTCAGGGCTGTAAGCGACAGATTTGGAACCAACCTTGCACTTTCTGACCCCGGTCTGGCGCTTTGCACGGGTGTTCTAGAGACCCAAAATAACGATTTTAGAGTTGGAGGCACTCTGGGAAACGCTGCAGGAACCGCTGGGAAGCGAAAATCTACTTTTTGTAGGAAATATTCGTATGATTCGCCTTACAATTCCCGAAATGGCCGCTGCATGCGTATATCTCGTCATATGTGGACCCTTTTCTGTCTTTTTGGCTTGACAAATTCTGCTTCATCATCGACCTTCAGTAACCAAGACGTAGAAGAGTGTCATTATGTCATTGAGGAAATATCTTTGACTAATGAGCTCACCAAAATTAGCTACAATGTCTTTGAGGTGCCTGAAAGTTCGAAGTCATTTCTCTTGATGTGTGTTGGGGTTGATGCTTGTTTTCTGGGGCCGAACACTTATCGAAACTGACACAGTTGGCACGAAGCGCACCCTTAGAGAAGTATCATAATGTTTTTGCTGCGCGAGGAATATTGTTATCACCTTTCTGGTGTGGTAAGGGTTGAACTCTTTCATTTTACTTTGATGAAAGACGCCCATGTCTGTTGCCACTTTTTTATGAAATCCTTTTGACACAGTTTGGTAACGGCAACTCTTTGGTTCAGAAACTACAAGTGCGTACTGTCGCAAGGTGGAGAAAACAGTAAAAATCTTTTATCCTTCTGAAGGATGGCACACGGCTTTGCACACGGCCAATCCAAGTGTGAGACTATAGGTGTGAGACATTTTTCTCACGCTTACATGTGTGAGCCACGTTTGTCTCACGCTGGAAAGTGTGAGACATCGATGTCTTACACTTGCAAGTGTGAGACACGGTTTGTCCTACACTTGCAGGCGCTGGACCCGTGGCATTGAACCACAAATCTAGCATAGGCAGCAAGTGTGGGACAAGTTGTGTCCCACACTTGGAAGTGTCCGACTTCGTTGTCCAACACTTGCAGGCGTGAGACAAACGTTGCTCACACTTGCAAGCGTGAGACGAACGTGGCTCACACTTGTAAGCGTGAGACAAAATGTCCCACACCTACAAGTGTGAGACTGTCTCACACTTGGATTGGCAGTGCCAAATTGACGAGGCCCGGGAAATAATGCAGTTTTCGTTGGCCCGCCCTTCTATTTAAAAAATAGGGGGAGGGCCTATGCATTTGCCTTTGTGTCTGTGTGTTGTTGTTGTTGGCGTTTGTGTACAAGGAAGGAGTTGAGCTAGAGTAACCAGATTTGGAGGGTACTTCAGGAGTACCGTCCAAACAAATAATCCGGTGGTGCAAATCCAGTCCGGGTCGCACAAGGGCTGCTGCAGGTTCATCATGGTTTACATGAGCGGGAGGGGGATTTCCGCCATTATTGGTGCTAGCAAGTCACATAGGGGTATTTTTGGAATCGGGGCGACGAGACAAGATGAATGGACCTGGTCCCGACCCCATCGGCCGCTTTTACAAGTTGGCCAGATCAGGATCTTCAAAAAAGGGGGACGACCGACTAAAAAAAATTATTGCAGATTTCGATTGGTCTCAGCAAGACCTTTTCAACGAGGGGTCGGAAAGGGGGTCCAGGAGCCCGACTTCGTCTATAAGTCACATCAGGATCTTGAAAAAAGGGGGTCGACCGACTGAAAATTTTTACTTAAGTTTTGGATAGGTCTTGGCAAGACCTCTTCAACGAGGGGTCGGAAGGGGGGTCCAGGAGCCCGCCTTCATGAGTTATGGGAAAAAGTGCGACGGACTCGTTTTGCGCTCCTGCTGTGCCTCTATTGCAAGGAGTTGCAGTAGCATGGCAAATATGGGTATTTTCGGAATGAGGGCTAAGAGACAAATGAAATGGGCATATTCTAAGGACAGTTGGAGTAAGGACTATTGCATATTGTGAATAGAAGGGCGGGCCTAAGTCACGATGGTACATCGATAACTTTGCTTTACCCGCTCACGGTGTGTGTGTGATGTGAGTGGGCCGAAGGCCCGGGCCTTCGACTGGCCAAGTTGGGTCTGATGCGAGGGCCGAAGGCCCGAGAAAAGGCCGCCTGCAGGCCAAGCTGGGCTGGCCCCCTGTCGAACCGAGTTGCCGGCGCAGCGAAGCGGAGCTGGCAACTCGGTTCGACGGAAGGGCGGGCTTGTTTATTTTGCTTGACAGCTTGTAAGTACAGTTGTTTTTTTGTTTTTTTTCATTCCGTAGCAGACAAAACCCATTCGACCATGGGTTCTGATCCATTTCCATTTAATCCTGGATGGGTTAGGACCCATTGAGACCCAGCTCTTTGGGTTCGCTTAAGAAACGCCTGCTAGGCTTGGCAAAAGTGTGATGCAAAGGTAGGCAAATCCGCTACCCACCGACCAATTAGGGGTAACTTGTAAACTACTGCAAGACCACCACCATTGTGTTAAGCGCCGAAAGTTACGTTTCTGACGACCATCACGGTTGACAAACCTTCTTTGAAAAAGAAATAATGACAAGCCTTGTCCGAGTTTGGACACTTTGTAATGGTTTAGACCCGTTATGGGTGCAATCCATACAATGAGTACTTTTCAGACACCCATTACATGGGTTACGGGTTGCACCCGTAAGAATGGGTTGGACTAAATTAAATGGGTGCATGAAAAGTGCCCATGTAAATGGATTTCGGAAATGGGTTTTGTTTTTGCCAACCGTTCGACAGAATGTGCAAATGGTAAAATGTTTGCTTGGTACACCGGTGTGTGTGCCGTTACAAGGACACTTCCATAGTTGACGAAGACAAGTACGGATCTCTGGGAGCGCGTAGGTTCCAAGCGTTTTTTTCAAGAGCGCCGATGCAAGTACTCTATGCTTTTCCAAGCGCTTTCCCATAGAAGTGTGTATCTCTTCAAAACGACATGCGTACATTGTATGCTCTAGCTGGAGCATGCCTGCAAGCACGCACGAGCAAGTGCATACCTGCCATGTACACTAGGGTGGGCCGTGAAACACGATTTTTCGATATCGCAAACGTAATAGCGCGCCAAAGTTACTTCATGGCATTACAAACTCAACGCGATCTGGGGCAGGTCTGTAACTTAAAGCTTGACCCTCGCGCATCGACGTTGAAAATTCGAAAATTCGACTTTTACGGGTTTTTCTAAAAACATCCATAGAAACTGAACCAGATGTCCAAATGATGTTTGCAAGACGGAAATGGAAACGTCTGATCATGCTTTATCAGTTAAAGACCACCGGGACCCTCTCCGAGCAGTAGGGGACCGCTGGGAGAAAATTACAAAATTACAATTTTTTTCGTTTTTTACAAAATGCAAAAATTGCCTTCAGGGTTTGATACGGCCATCCTAACGTCACCGTAGCCGAACCATACCCCGAATCATCTTCTCTAAGGGCCCCTTTCCCGTTTTAAGCGCACGGGGTACTCCGGGATCCGTTCACACGTTAGGATTTGGACGCCAAAAACACATGTTTTACTAAAAATGCAAATTATCGGTACTCAGGGCACTGTAGGGCACTCGTCCCGTCCGTATGAACTGCAGTGACTCAGAATCGATTACTAGATGGTGTCTTTGCGTCGCAGGAACCCACCAGTATATAGACAATCGGACGAAGAGACGTTTAGAACGCTATTTTTACTGTAAATCTCGTTAATCTAGGGTTAAAACGTATTTGGCTCGTCTGGATTAACGACAGAAGGTCGCTGCACGTTTATACAGGTTATTCTTATCCATCGCATAGGTTGTAGGTGCCTGTGACGCAAAGACACCATCTAGTAATCGATTTTGAGTCACTACAGTTCATACGGACGAGACGAGTGCCCTGAGTACCGATAATTTGCATTTTTAGAAAAACATGTTTTTATGGCGTCCAAATCCTAACGTGTGAACGGATCCCGGAGTACCCCGTGCGCTTAAAACGGGAAAGGGGCCCTTAGAGAAGATGATTCGGGGTATGGTTCGGGTACGGTGACGTCAGGATGGCCGTATCGAACCCTGAAGGCAATTTTTGCATTTTGTAAAAAACGAAAAAAAATTTGTAATTTTGTAATTTTTTTCCATCGGTCCCCTACTGCTCGGAGAGGGTCCCGGTGGTCTTAAACTGATAAAGCATGATCAGACGTTTCCATTTCCGTCTCGCAAACATCATTTGGACATCTGGTTCAGTTTCTATGGATGTTTTTAGAAAAACCCGTAAAAGTCGAATTTTCGAATTTTCAACGTCGATGCGTGAGGGTCAAGCTTTAAGTTACAGACCTGCCCCAGATCGCGTTGAGTTTGTAATGCCATGAAGTAACTTTGGCGCGCTATTACGTTTGCGATATCGAAAAATCGTGTTTCACGGCCCACCCTAATGTACACACTAACTGGAGCATACATCTAGTGCATGAGGGATAGAGACTTGTCAGCTCCAGGAAGCGTATGGCAGGTATGCACTTGTTGGTGCATGCTTGACAGGCATGCGCTAGCTAGAGCGCGCTTGCAGGCATGCTGCAGCGACAGCATTCAATGTACGCTTTTCGATTTGTAGAGAATTTCTCAGCACTCCCTAGTCTATCGGATCCTGTCTTAGCATCATTTAATCAGTTAACATCTACGTCTTCTCTTCAGTTACCTACCCTCAGAGCTTACATTACAATATTTCTCGCGCAGCACAAACAATTATGATCCTTCTCTTAGGATGCGTTTTGAGTCAACTGTGTCAGTTTCGATAAGGGAACGGCCCGAGAAAACAAGCAACAACTCTAACATTCATCAAAAGAAATGACTTGGAACTCCGAGCAACCTCAAAGACATTCACGCTAATTTTGGTGTACACAATTCTGAAAGATATTTCCCCAAGGACAATATGACACTCTTCTACGCCTTGGTAAGTGAAGGTCCATGTTGAAGCAAAATTTGTAAAGCCAAGAAGACAGAAACGGGTCCACATTTGACAAGATATACGCATGCAGCGGCGCTTTCGGGTGATTTTTAGGCGTTAAATAGGAATTTTTCATACAAAAGGTAGATTTTTGCTTCCCACCGTCCCTGCAGCGTTCCCCAGGGTGCCTCCAACTCTCAAATCGTTTTTTTGGGTCTCTAGAACACCCGTGCAAAGCGCCAGACCGGGGTCAGAAAGTGCAAGGTTCAACCGCTTACACCCCTGACTAAGAGGCTGAATCCGTAAGGAGGGGTAGTCTAAACCCTAATCTAGTTTAATAGGTACAAGCTATTAATTGATTGGAAAGACAAAGGTTCCTGTGGCCAATAGACATTTTTGTCAAATGATATTTCGGCCAAGATTAAAATTTCCCCAAATTTTTTCTCATGGAAAATGATTAATGCAAGGGCCGAATTTTATGAGGAGGGGTAGTTGAGAGCCGTAACTGTTTAAATAGATAGTACAACCACTTCCAAAGGAATCCGACCAGCCCGGCCCGGCGATACCCCGCGCGCCCAGACAGCTACCTCCAGCAGCTACCTGGGCGAGGGGTAGCGCCGGCCGGCCGCGGTGGTCGGATTCTTTTACAAAAGGTATAAAAGGTATTTGGGGGGGGGGATGAAAGATCCCCCGAGACAGCTAACAACAGCGACCAGCTGAGCTGCCACTGCTGTACTACCTAGCGATACCCCATGCCCACGGAACAAAATAGTCCCTCTGGAGGCTGAAAACTATTTCCAAGGCCGTTTTAGCTGCGTAATAGCCTTGTAATAGTAGTGTAATAGCTGTAATTGATAGGTAATACCTGTGTTATTGCGTAATAGGTGCGTAATAGACGAAATGGTTGTAATTGCTGTAATTTCCGAAATTGCTGTAATTGCACTGTAATGGTACTGTAATAGCAGAAATATCGATGTAATATCTGTAATTTGCGTATTAGGTGTAATTGTCTGTAATGATTCAAAATGTAATAGTCGGTCGACCATTTTCATGAGTGATTTCCCCCTTGGCACGCGTGTCCCACGCTTGCACTGTCAGAAAATTCCGAAAAAAATGGAAAAATCATGGAGTTTTTCCGAAACTTCTGCATGGAGCTCTCCATAAATGCAAATTCTGAGCTTTCTCCGAAAAAATTCGGAATTTTGAACAAAAATGCACGCTTCACTATCACAGAAACACGAAAAAAGGGTTTGCAACCAGTTAAAATTTGAGGGAAAGGTGAACCCCTACTTCTTGAGCTCAGTTTTCATAATATTAAGGGAAAGCTACAGGATATAAGTCAAATGAGCTCGAATGAGATTGTCCCTTCTTTGACCATTTCAGACCAAAAACTGCTTCAGCGAAGTCCTCTTTAATATATCTGAGAAAAGACTTGCATTTTACCTCCTATCTGGACCCAAGGAATGCTCCGAAGAACATCTGTATAAGCCCTGAGAAAATCTCTCCGAAAAAAAAGGAAAATGAATGGAGTCTCCATGAACGTGATTATAGGGTTTTTCACCATAAAATTTCGGAGCTAATTTCTAACAGTGTGCAAGTGTGGCAAGCGCGAGACCCGGTTTGTCTCACTCTTACGAGCGCCTGTGGCATTAAACCACAGGGAACCATAGGCAGTAAGTGTGGGACAAACCGTGTCTCACACTTGTAGCCTAAGTGGTGGAACAAAAGTGGCTCACTCTTGAAAGCGTGAGACATCGCGGTTCGCGCTGCATAGTTTGAGACTGTCTTACACTTGAATAGGCAGTGTAATGTACATTGTGGACGTGAACTCACCGTCGACTGAGGCGCATTCGTAACCTCGGTGAAAACCTGCTGTGCGGTCTTGTCAAGGAAGTCATCCAAACCTACTGAACAAAAATGACGATTAGCTTTGAAGAAAGAAGCTAGGAACCTCAAATTGGTGACCCTTGAAAGTAGTTCGACGACAAACCAGACTCACAGGCGTACTCAAAGTGCGTAGAATGGGGTCCACTTGAGAGTGAGTCAAGGCTGCTTTCACTCAGGCTCAAATCTGAAACATTTTCAAAGAATAAAGTGTATCAAGTGTATCGCTAAAAAAAGGGCCTTGCAGAAAAGTCATGCCTACACTCTACAAAAAATGTCCTGTCAACGCCGTTAATTTATTACCAATGTTTGCTGTTATGCAATTCACGGCGTTCACTGTGATCTCGGCAACAGTGTTCACTGTGATCTGGCCACAGTAAACGCCGTGAATTGGAGCCTGATTTGCAGTCCTTCGGTGCTCAGCGGCGTCAAACTCACAGTGTTTACTGGGGACCAGATCACAGTGAACACCGCGAACAAGATCACAGTGAATCCCGTGAGCAGATCACAGTAAACGCTGTGAATTGACCTACAGTGAAAACTGGTAATAAATTAACGGCATTTACAGGACATTTTGGTAGAGTGTAAAATCGTTTTGACACAGAATTCACAGTAATTTTTGTCAGAACGGTGGCAGGGATAGTATTAAGGGGAGGTTCTACTGAAAATCTTACTTTCTTCAAATTGAGTCCCATTATCAATATTCATTGTAAATTTAAAGTATTTCATAGTAAATAGTTAGATTTGAAGTTTGGAGAGCAATACCTAGCCCCCAACCCAGTCGAAGAGGAATTTTCTGCTATTTCCAGTCGTAACTTGAAAAATTCTCCTACGCAAAGTATTTCAACGTAAACTGATGTTCTGGGCATTTTTCACTTCTTTGGTTCATAATTGATAAACCGTGGCATTAGTAAGATACTGGGACCATTACAAAACCATAAGCTGTGTTTTTAAGACAGCATGTCAATAAAATTTCAAGAAAATGTTAAAATTTTTAATATTTGAGTGATTTTTTTTCTGAAAAGCAACGACAAAATAAATTTGTTGGGTCCCATGTCTTGGTGATGCCACGCTTTATTGCATATGAGCCAAAGAAGTGAAAAATGTCCAGAACATCAGTTTACGTTAAAATGCTTTGCGTAGGAGAATTTTTTAAGATATTGCTACAATAGGCTGAAAAAACCTCTTCGACTGGATTTGGAGGGAGGTATTGGGCTCTAAATTTCATGTTTGACCATTAACTATGTATTACTATACATCTGCAACAAATTTTTACACTGGGTCTCAATTTGAAAAATGCAATATTTTCAGTAGAACCTCCCCTTCAAGAGACACGACTTGTATGCTGATAGATCGGAGAATGATTTATTCGCCAAGGGCGGATCCAGGGACGGGTTCAGGGGGGGGCGATGTCGTGAAAGTTGCCTACCTACAGGGGCAATGTGCGACTTTTTGCCTACCTTTCCGCCGCCTTGAAAAGGGGGGGGGGGTCCCGGATTCGCGCCTGTTATTCACTGAATGTACATTGCTAGGTAAACTCGGTAGAGAAGGACAGCAATAAGTAAATGGACCAGGACTACCAACAGAGATATTGAATACGTTTTCGGCGTAAATCCTCCGCCATTCCAATTTTCGGCACGACCTTTCCCGTAAAACTCACTGTCTGCACAAATCCACATTTTAAAGTCACGCCAGCAAACGGCGTGTCTTTCAAATATAGCTGTTTTTCAGCGTGAATTTCATTCATGTCATGCCATTTTACAGTGCAACTTTCATGTCAACCCGAGTTTAAGCGTGTCTTCTTCATGCCATAGTTAGGTTGTCTCCCGCACAATGATCTCAGTCCCTTACAGTGGTGTTGCATGGTTGTATCTAGTGCGAGTCACTTACCGTAGCTGTCTAAAGCCTCAAATATGACCTCAGCGACTCGTTTGTTGGTTCGAGTAGCAAGATCTGCTCTGGTAAGCATTCGGAGATCGTCGGTCGAGAATCCTCCGAGTGATTCGAGAGCCTGTCGCATCTGTAAATCAGCACGTGGAAACTACTTATGTAGTACATTTAAGGGGAGGTTCTGGTGAAAATGCTATCTTCTCCTAAACAGGTCCCACTGTGTAAATTAGTTAAAAATTTGATGTCTTACCAAGTAATTAATAAAAATTTTCATTGGGGACTCACATTCTATGCCCTGAACCCAGTCGAAGAGTCTTTCTGAGCCTATTTTGGCTGTAACTTTAAAAATCTTCTTGCGCATACTATTTTGTCGTAAAAGCTTGGCCTTGACATTTTTCACTTCTTCGATTCATTTTTAAAAGATGCCGGCATGCACAACTCAAAATGTAAAATAACATTTTCATTTGCAAGCTTTCTAACCAAGCATTTCACTATAATTGATCAAAAATGTACAAAATAGACAAATTTTAGGGACTTTTCAGCTTAAAAAGCTTACAGTTAATAATATAATGGAAATTTGACTATGCATGCCGGAATTTTTTGAAAATGAATCGAAGAAGTGAAAAATGTTAAGGTCAGCCTTTTCGACAAAAGTATGCGAAAGGAGATTTTTTAAGATACAGCCAAATAGGCTCAAAAAGACTCTTCGACTGGGTCAGAGCCTGGGATGTGCCTTCAAAAATCAAATTTTAGTCTCCTCGAAGAAAGATTTTATATTCCGAACAAATTATGTCACTGGAATCCATTTGGGAAATGGCAAGATTTTCACCAGAACCTCCCCTTAACGCAAAACGCCGTATAAATTTCTCCATTTTTGGGAACTTTGTGTCATGTTTCTACGAAGGCACTGAAATTTAAAGGGTGATACACCTGAACAATTTTTGGTGATACAAAAAGTTTCACCAAAAAAAAGGTGTGTGACCGAAACAAGAGTGATACTTAAATGTATGAGCGCAAAAGGGTCAGACATCAGCCAGCAAGACTCGCCCTTGTTTAGCTTCAGGATAGACACTTTAATTATTGATACGAAGAAGCGTGACCCCTGATTGGTCAAACATCGAAGTATGACCCTTTTTCGATCATACATTTCAGTATCGCCCCATGGATCATAAGTCTCACCTTGCTATTTTCTGTGGAGTTCCCTCACGTACCTTACAATTCCCAATTACGATTGGCTCCGACGCCACAATATTTCGTCAATTTACTGGATTTCCCTACATATGTTTATGCTACCTTTAGGAGCTCTTCCCTGGACGTGCTTGCTACGACCGTAACTCGTCTTACTGCCATGTTAAGACCAAGTTCATTTTTACCTCGAAGGAGCAAATCCTATGCCTGGCGAGGACTTGCTGTATCCATCTTGATGCATTGGTGTTGTGTGGATTCCCAAGCGAGGCAGCCCCCTCGGGATAATACGGCATCATCGGAGCGCCCATGTTGTTGTCTAGCAAAAATCCAAATGGTAAAAGAAATTATTTATCAAATATTTTAAATTCTTAAATTGCTGTTACTCAAAGACCCGCTGACGAAGTTTACGTAGTTCTGAACTCAACCCAGAAACGGGGTCGACTGAAGCCTTGATTGTCAAAGATCCTTAGGCGGGCTGAATGTTAGACGTGTTTCTTTTGGTCGAAAAAATGAACTGCTTACAGAGCACTTTAAAACCATATTTGACGCCGGCCCTAAGAGTTGCATCTTTATGATTATCTCTCAAAGCCAAAACCTCAAAAGGTTATGTTCAGGAAAAATCCTGAGACCGTTATTAAGTAAACTGAACAATGTGACACAATATGGGTTGCACACCTCAATTCATCTGGGGCAAATTATGACCCCTACGAAACCTTTGTACACGGGGTCTGAATTTGGACACTTTGCGACGGGTCAAACCCATTATGTGTGCAACCCATTTAAATTGGTACTTTTCATACACCCATAAGAATGGGTTGGCCCCAAATACATGGGTGCATGAAAAGTGCCCATTTAAATGGGTTCATGAAATGGGTTTTGTCTGGTATGGGTTGTGATGCCTATCACAGGTATTAGTGATGCCATCCACAAGTATGTGAGAAGCCATTTAGAAGTATCTGTGCACTCTAAATGTCTTACGGAGAAATTTCCCATAAAACGAAGAAAATGGCGCAAGCATAATACAAAGGTGGTGTTTCTTCGTATTACGAATGTTTTTCTTTGTATCCTACAATGAAAAAGCTAAAAGGATTCGTATTACGAAGGAATATTGCTTCGTATTATGCTTGCGCCGAATTCACTGTAACATATGAATGACATATGTCAAATTTCATTGCAAGACATTTAGAGTGTGATGCCAAGCACAGACTTTAGTTTGCTGTGTCCCAATGGTCTCCAACATCATTATCATTTGCATCCACTCTAAGATGCAGCGAAGTGCAATGTGTACACGGGAACCAATACTTGCAGGGCCAGGCTGCGTCATCATGACCTTGTCGAGGAGAGGAGAGCAGCGACATGTAGGGTTCTTCACTGTGAACAAAGAGCACGCAGAGCATTAGACACGGGTGGATTCGGGTTTGGATCTCAGATGTCAGATAGCCACCTGAAAGGTAGGCAAAAGCAACACTTGCCTATCATGTCACGCATCTTTTCAGTGAAGATTGCATGTGGAGGTCATATTCCTATCAGAAGTGCACTGAAGTAAGTGGTACTTTACGATATACAAGGGATCTTTCAGAGCTGTTTCAGCGTAACACGGTCACACAGCTTTTCAGCTTTTCTTTGCGGGGGTTCCAAGGTCTATTTTGTTTTAACTTCTTTGCGGGGGTTCCAAGGACTATTGTGTTTTTACTCCAATTTAAGTACCCAGACTGGTCCTAGAAGCAGCGGCATGGTAGCGCAGCGCGTTGGTCAGCGTGTTTGTTCCGAAGTATACCCTAACACTGCAAAAAAAATTCTGAAATTTAAGACATGAAAATGTCTTAAATTTAATAACATTTTGAAATGATGTGAAAACTCAGAAAAGTTTGTGAAAAGTGCTATACTTTATTACATTTACCAAAACTAAAATGAAAAGTAATAAATAGTTGGTAAATTTCAAAACCACTTCTAAAATTTAGGAACTGGGTTGTCAAAATTAAGATTGCCTGCCAAAAGTAAAAAATTGGTTTCTTAAAATCCACATGACTGATGACTTTTCATAACTAGATTTCTGAAACTAACTGATTGAAGTTAAAATTGAACGCTTCAGTGATAGCTGTCACATTCAACGTAAACCCAAGGTTTAGTTTGATTACTTCACGCAAACTGTCGCCAAGCCACTTCTCACACGGTATGGCCCACAGTCAGCCGCTGGGTTCAAGGTCATGTTTCACAGACCTGCCGCTAGGTGGCGCTTAGAGCGCTGTGTCCGTTCCCGAATAAGTATTTCCTATTTGTATTTCTAAAAGAACTTCTTTTGGCAAATGATACCATCTGTTGCCTTAGTAAATGTCTTCTCTAGCCGCTAGCTCAAATTTTTTAACAAAATATTCCACAGAAGTTGAGAAAAACGCGCAACCATGTTGCCACTCGCTGGCGTCTGCTGTCGGCCATTAGGTTAGGTCCAGGCACCTCCTCTGTGGAGGCACAGTCGGAAGATGGAAGACATACAAATTACAGGTCTTCGTGCTTCGAATAAATTTTGACAACCGACACTGTAAGGTGGCACGATGTAAGATGCATTTCAGAAATCTGACGACGTCAGTATAGAAGTTCTTTTTTCCCACTTTAGTCAGATTTGTTTATGAATTTTAAGAAACCATAATATATGAATTTTAAAAACTTTGTCATTAGTTTTAAGAGGAGAAAGTTTCTTACTTTTAATAGCAAAAAATCTTTGTAAACTGCTTCACAAACTAGTTTCTTAAAATTAAGATGGATTTTTTTTGCAGTGTAAGCTCCTGCACTGTTCAAGACAAAAAGTTCATGTTAAGGTAAAAGTCAATTGTCGGTCATTATTTTCAAACCCATATGTAGGGTGTAGATGTTAAACTGGCAACGTAGCTTCGAGGCTCAAACGCCCTAGACTCGCGTTTTGTAGCGTAGAGGCCATGGCTGCGCTTCCGCCTTTTTCAAAGGCTATTTTGGCTTTTGGAACCGACAATGGGTGACCATTTTTTCATGCTTCTCGTGCTTTAATTATTTTTTTCAATTTCGCTCAAACTAACTGTTATCAGTTCTCTCTTTGATGCCCGATATGTGGCGCAATTGCCTAGAAATCTGTGCGAACTATTCCAAGAATTTTGAGCCGATATAAAATGTACTTTTCGTCCTTCACGTGCACCAAAAAGTCAAGTGACAGTTGGCAAAGTCGCCATTCCTCGTTTGAGAGTGTCCCCCCCCAAAAAAAAAGTGAACTAATTACTAATTTAAATGACGCTTAAAGATGGACGTCAACCATGGCAGTAGATCAATGACTCGGGTCATTTCGATGTAACGCGCACGTCTCTCATCATTTGCTCGTCCTTCTAAAGTATGCCAATTGAGTTTACATCCTAGATCGCGGTTACAGTGTTATGATCAATTAAAACCGTACCAGACGGAGAAACAGCTCTGAATGACGACAGCATAACCTCTCAGTGCAAATAACTATATATCGTTAGTCTGTCTGTTACCTAGTTGATTAGCGCCAACATTGAACGTGCATTACGTTTCATACACTCTTCCATTCTTCAATAGACAATTTAGTAATATACATCGATGTTTCTGCACATGCTCTGCAAACTCAAGTGCCTGCCAGGGATGCACTTCTTGGTGCATCCCCGCAGGCACACACTTTCTGCTGCATGCCTGGCAGGCACACACTTCTTAGTGCATGCCTGGCAGGCCGAGTGGCAGGCACACACTTGCCGTCGCCAATGCATGCATACAAGCAAGTATGTGCCTGAGGCATGCAGCAAAGAAGTGTGCCTGCCAGCCATGCATCAAGAAGTGTGTGACTGCCAGGCATCCGCCAAGAAGTGTGTGACTGCCATGCATGCACCAAGAAGTGCATGCCTGGCACACACTTGAGTTTGCAGAGTGTGTCTGTATAAATTGTAAAAATTTGCTCATTAACGTGCACAAATGTTAACACGTTACTCGCACTCTCAGCACGTTACTGGCTTTTTCCTCATTAATTACGTATTCGTATAAACAGCAATAACACTTTGTATTTTCTAAGTAAGCATGACTAATTTCTTTGTAAAATTATGTACAAAACAAAATTCTCAGTAAATTATTTTATATTTCTTATGTAGTTCTTTAAAAAAAGGAGAAGTACGTATTGTGGTTGCACAAATTACTTGCGTAAGTACTGACAAAATGAGCAAAAAGTCAATAACGTGCTGAGAGTGCGAGGAAAACTTAGTACGGGTCTATAGTAATTGAATCTAATAATTTTTTTAAAAAATGTACTAACAATTTACTTCCTTGAATGACTTTAAGGATAAATTTTAAATACTATCCTTGCATGGACGACGTCCAATAGACGTGCAGGGTTTCTCCGTGGGGAATCGAGGGTGCTAAGTACCTCATGATCCGCATGTTGGAAGCTGGAGGGCAGAGCGAACGTTGGCGGTATTCCCCTTGCAGCCGCGTGTCCGCCGCGAGCCTCGCGAAGTGGCCTTCCTCGCCGTCGCGCAGCTGCGCACTGAGCCAGGCCCAGGCCCAGGCCGGCCGACGCGCTGGCTGCAGCTCGCCCCTTCCCCGTCTCGCACGCCAGTCGAGCGATTCGTCGCTCTCTCTCTCACTCCTACGGCACAGTCCATGAGTGCGAGAGAGACAGAGCGAGAAGTGCTGGCGGCGGAATGGCTCGGCGGATCGGCCAATCGCGGGACGCAGCCGCAACAGGAAAAGTGCGCCAGAGGCGGGGAGCCCCCGGCGCCGTGCAAACACGTGACGTCAGCGAGCGCCGCGCCCAGCCTGCAGGCCGAGCACTGCTCGTCACTCTCTCTCGCACCCATACGGCGTGCGCCGTGAGCGCCACAGAGACAGCGCGACGAACACACTCACGTCCTCTGTACGCTTTTAGCACGCGGTTCGGTATCCATTTGCGCATGCGTGCTTTTCAGACGAAGAAGTACAAGATTTCACTGTAATACGTTAGTGGCGTGCACAGGTCGCCTCTTCGGGAGGGGTGGTGGGACCTTTTTTTTTTTTTTTTTTTTGGGGGGGGGGGGGGGCTATTGCACGCCACTGAAATCATTGCGATTTGACGTACGGACGTGCATGCATGCACAATTTTGAGAGGGCACACGCTAGAGGTCTGCTGAGGCCAAACAGCGCTGATGATGATGCATCATGCACATGTGCAATACTGTACAACTACATTTGCTAAGGAAGCCGTTCTCGGAATCAGTCCACTGCAACGACGCCACTTCTGTGGTGCAGGCCTGAGGCACAGTCACATGGGTGGGGGAGGATACCGCTTATCTATATCTGCACAAGTATCGCCCCAGACGAGAGAAAAAAAACTTCCTCGTGGAATGACACACTGTCAGCGCTGGTAGGAAAACAGATGAGGTTCTGGTACTAACATGGGACAAAGAATCCAAACCAACTACTTGCGTAGAATTTTGTACGTTTAAGTTGCATGATTTCGTGCATGCATGGAATTCGCAGAATGCGTGAAAATGCATAAGTTAATGGAAATTCGAGGACAATTTTATGCAAAACTTTAAATAGGTTAAAAATCATGCTGAATTCAGCATGCAGGTGCAAACCAGGTGCAAACCAGGTGCAAAATGACTCTAGTATTAGCGTGGACCTGGCTCGTTCCTCACTATCAGTGACTTCCGTTGTGCGTTGCAGTGCGTTTTTCGACCAGCGGCGGATCCAGAGGCAGCCCGGCCGGGGGGGAGGAGGAGCACATTCTGCCCACCTTTCAGGCGACTATTGAGAGGCTCTCTCTCTTTCTGCCCCCGTATCCGCGCCTCTTTTCGGTGTGACTGTTCCCCTATTCGCATATTCTGGATTCTTTCCATTTAACTCGGTAAATAAAAGACTATAGATAACCCAGCTATGTAAACTAAACAGTTACTTTGTTTGAAAACGTTATTGATTCCTGCCTGGGGGTGCACTCTACAAAATAATGGCATTTCTACTACACCGTCGTATGGTAAAAGTGCCAACTTCGGTATGAGAAACGACAATCCCATACGTGATTCGGAAAATTCCTATGCTTTCCGTTCTTTCGCCAATGCGCTGTAGTAAAAATCCGAACAGAGTATAGGACTTTGATTTCCTGTACTCGTGTTCGTTTTTCCCCATACTTTTTAGTAGAAATCCTGTTACTTCAGCCCGTTGTATACTGATTTTCCTACAACGCATTAGTAAGAATCCCAAACATTTCTGAAATATTTTTCAGGAGAGAGGGGACAAAAACGGACATTCAATATTGATAACAGGCTAAAGGCACAATGACTAAGGCGGCAAAGCTGCTCAGAGAAATGTACACACTAAATGATCCAGGAAGCGGAAGAAGGGGATAACTCAATTTTGGCCATTTTTCAGGAGAAACAAAAAACTGTTAGCAGGGAAAACTAAAACAAAACAAATGAATGTTGCAGATGTTAATAATTTCAAAAAGCATTAGTAAAATTTTGGAAAACAAATCAAAAGTGTAAGGTCACTCCGTAGAGGATTTCTGCGACTTATCACTTTCCGTTGAAATGGAAAACAGAGTCAGCTCACCTTATATTTCCTAAACAAAGTGGAATTTGGAGACAAGTCAAGTGGAACAATAGTCTGCATAAAGTGTATGTTACTCTGGTGTATTTTTTGGACTTAGCTCTTTTTTCCAACTTGAAATTTAAAATTAAGGGGGGGTTAAGTTGAGTTGAATCTTTTTACACAAGATTCATAAAAACACAAGTTGAGTTATATCCTTTTGCCAATTTGTCAAACGGACTCATGTAGACTAAGGTTGAGTTATCTCCATTTTCCAATGAAATTTAGACCGTAAAAGGGGTTAAGTTGAGTTATACCCTTTTTCCATGTGGATTTTCTCCTAAACTGCTTGGAATTCAGTCAAATAATTTGGTGTAATGATGTAAACCATTCTAAGGCACAATAATAAAATAAAAACTCAATTTGGGGATAAGTCAAGTTATTCCCTTCTTCCGCTTCCTGGATCAAATGTCATGGGACTTTTTTTGTCCCACGATTTATGCAACTTTAAGCACATCCGACGCTGATTCAATTTTGTTCCCGTCTGGTGACACATTTTGTCCGGCGCCAGTTGCAACTTGTACTTTCACTAGACAATTTGTCCCGCCTGGCGGACACAAAATTGCATCACCACCGGATGTCCTCAAAATTGCATCATTCGTGGGACAAAAAAAGTCCCATGACATTTAGTGTGTAAACAAAAGCTCATGTGACGTCAAACCGTAGTATAGAAATTGGCACTAGACGATTCGTTAAAACCGGTTTAAACTTGTTTTGTATCGTGTTCTGACCCATTATCACATATGGTGTCAGATAATTTCGACTTATTCAGTAAAACCTGAAGGGTTAGTCTCTGAAAATCGCGGCAACTCTGAGAACTATTCATGTAATTAGATGAGCCGTGGTTTTAAATCCTTTCAAAGTGTAACGTGATTGGCTGAGCGATAGCGAAGCCTGTTACCACTGTAAATCCAAAGGCAATACTTTTAGTACCTTTTTTGACGATACAATTAAGTATCGCCAATTAACGGCCATACGGAAAAGTATTGCCTTCAAAAGGCGATACACAAAAGTATCGCCAAAATTTGGCGATACTTTGGAGTATTACCACGATTTGGCAATAAACGTCGAACAAATCAAGGGGTTTAATGCCGTGGTTTTGGCAATATCCAAAAGTATTGCCAAACGTTGGCGATACTTTTTTGTATCGCCGTTCTGAAGGCAATACTTTTCTGTAAGGCCGTTTATTGGCGATACCCAATAGTATCGCCAAAAAATGTACTTTAGTATCGCCTTTGCATCTGCAGTGATATCATCTGTTGCTTTGTAAGTGTCAGCCCTAGCCGTTGGCTTCCAGTTTTAAACAAAATATGACATTAAAGTCGAGAAAAAACGCTAAGAACAAGATCATTAGTTTCTGGCTCTGTTTTATCATTTTTTACGAATTATTTAATGTTTGAGTGCGCCTTTCTCTAGTTTAGCAGAGTAGTAGTCGCTTCAATAAGTATTTTGGTGATGTCATTGACATATTTGTGCGTTACTCGCTGAGTTTTCAGACCCTTTGGTGGCGTCCTTGATTTAGCATTCTGTTTGCCTCCGGCTTGTGGCTTAAAATGATAGATATGACTTCTATTAAATCCTTCACCGGATTTTTGTTTTTTGATTTCGTAACGTACTTGCAGTGTTTGTGTCGCATCCTATTGACGCATGTATCCCGCTAGTCCAAGTATCCACAGTGGCAAAAAGCTACGGAAAATTCTGTAAACGGCTTGTGGTAATTCTCCGTAGCCCCCTTGTCAGTATTCTCCGTAGGCTCTTACAGTATTTTCCGTAGAAGCGCACAGTACTCTTCGTAGGACCTTACAGTGATCTCCGTAGGACTATACAGTCTTCCAGGTCCTACGGAGAAGACTGTGCGGTCCTACGGAGAATTCTGTAAGAGCCTACGGAGAATATTGATAAGAGGGCTACGGAGAATCCTGGCAAAAAAATTAACAGAATTTTCCGTACCTTTTCGCCACAGTGTCCCGGGTGCTTACAGGTTATGTTGACATGGACTTCAGCAGCAGCCCTGGGAAGGGCGAAGCAGTACGCGGATCACTTCAAGTGAGTTATTGTATAGTTTTATCTTGTGCGAAAATGAGATAGAAACTGATGCTGGGGTCATCAATGTATACATTTATGTGTTGTTGCAGCTGGCAGTTACTCCAAGAAAGCTTGACGCTGCCTTTACATTACTCTATATGGTCCCTGATATGCAGCCTCCTATTGTAAGTGCTGACCATCAATTAATTGGGACCTCAACACTAACGTGCTCCAACACCAAGAAGCCGCCCGAAAACCCAGAAGGGTTGGTGAGCATACCTGCAGTTGGAGCTAATTGGAGCTGCTCATCTTCCCCCCATTGGGGCCTGAGAAATATCAGTCAAATTTGTTACTTGAACTCGACCATCCAAGTAAGTTTCTGTTCTTTAAATTTTCATATAATATTTGATACTCTAGTTTTTCTATTCTTCCTTTTTTTTGTTTAAGGCACTTTTCCACTTGCCACTATTTATTCAGTGGCTTCGTCATGATGAAACTCATAGGTCTACCTGCTCCTCCAAGAATTGTGTTTCATGTTGTCTTTACTCAATTTTTGACCACATGCACTCTATGACCGTTCATGATTTAAACCATCTCATCCAGCACCTTTCCAGTGAGTATTCTGGTTTATCAACCAGGTTTAATGGCTTCATATTTTTGCCATTAATTTTAATTCAATGTGAATTCAATGTCCCAAAAACCGTAATGAAAGTTATGTATTTCCTCTAGTTAGTGCTGATAATTCTTTGCTGCTCACAGGTGTTTTCCCCACAGCAGATTTGGAGAACAACAGGATGCACATGAACTTCTAATACACCTCTTGGAGGCACTATCGTCAGAGTTCATTCTTCGTTTTCCCCGAGAGCAGTAATTGCTCACTTTCCTTCATTGGCTGAGCGATAGCGAAGCCTGTTACTCCAGTGGGGTTGAAAAGTTTTGTCTGTCTGTCTGTCTGTCTGTCCGCACTACTCCTCCTGAACGGCTCGGCCGATCTCAATGAGATTTTGCACACTTTTTTTATATGTCCTTGGCTCGGCACACGCGAAATTTTACTATCCTAGCTCAACTGGTTCGGTTTTTATAGCCGAAAAACATCTAAAAAACGGCGAAAAATCGAGTTTTCTGCAGGCAGGTCACTTCTGTCTAAAAGAAAGGGGGTCTGGGGGGCGGAGCCCCCCAGCCTCGACAAGTTAAACAGTGACAAGGGTCAAGATCGTGTTATCTGTAGATGAAGCAACTCTATCTAGAATGAAGGGGGGTCTGGGGGCGGAGCCCCCCAGCATGCAACAAGGTAGAAGTAACCAACGGTGGACAAGCCATTGCCTGCCGAAGGCAGGCTAGCGCCGCAGGCCAAGGTAGGTACGCCAGGCGCGGATTGGAGGAACAGGCAGCGACATATCGCGAAGCCTGTTACGACAAGACGCGGTCTGGCGTAAACCTACCTTGTATTTTTTGAAGAGCTGCTATCGTGCTCCTTTCGCATGTGGAGGTCTTGGTTGGAGAAGCAGAAGGGAGATTACACGATTAAAAATAATTTTATCTCCAGCCCTGCCAAAGCTGCTCAGACCAATTTTTCCATGAGTGATCTTGAAAACAACTTCAGAAGGGATGATCGTTTGACTGCAACGTATGCAAATCTGTCTCAGGTTATTGGCTGAGCAATAGCAAAGCCTGTTACTCCAGTGGGGTTGAAAAGTTTTTCATGTCTGTCTGTCTGTCTGTGTGCACTACTCCTCCTGAACGGCTCGGGCGATCTCGGTGAGATTTCGCACACTTTATGGGTATGGCCTTGGCTCGGCACACGCAAAATTTCATTACCCTAGCTCAGTTGGTTCAGTTTTAATAGCCGAAAAACACCTAAAAAACGGCGAAAAATCTAGTTTTCTGCAGCCAGATTACTTCTGTCTCGAAGAAAGGGGGGTCTGGGGGGCTCCGCCCCCCGCCTCGACAAGTTGAAAATTAACGAGGGTCAAAATCGGGTTTCCTAGCGTGGTCCACGCTACCTACCGTGGACTTTGATTTGCAGTGAAGTCAAAATCGAAAGGTCGTGTTTGAGAACCGAGTTGAGAACGGTGCGGACTAACCTGTCGCTGGTGACTACCTTCTTCCAGAATACCTGTGGAGAGTGCAATAAAATTTAAGAGGGTTTTTAAGAATTACATTTAGGAACTTTTAAAACTTTTCACCGTGCACTGTAGGTGCATCAAATGTCCTGCATGTCCCGGTCTGCAGGATGAATCTGCTTCGTGATATGGCCATCATGCGGATGAATGGTCGTTTTGAACACAAAACACGCTTGCGGGCTCGCCTGAAGCGTCTCGCAGCTTCGTGCCAAAATGCTACAAATACTGCGAGTAGAGTGCAGAATGTCGAACGAGTAGTTTCTCGATGCACGAAGAATGTGAGAGACCGCAGTTAAGGAGCTAAGTTGCATGTAAAATCTCATTCTGAACTCATTTAATTTTCTCACAAACAGGAACCAGTGTGGCGCCAGTGTGACGAAAAGCTCCGGAAAATTCCGTTATCAGCTTGTGGTAATTCTCCGTAGCCCCCTTGTCAATATTCTCCTTAGGACCTTACAGTGATCTCCGTAGGACTATACAGTCTTCCAGGTCCTACGGAGGATACTGTAAGAGCCTACGCAGAATATTGATAAGAGGGCCACGCAGAATCTTGGCAAAAATATTAACAGAATTGTCCGTACCTTTTTGTCACAGTGGGGGAAATATATTAAGGACTACGCTTACCAATTAAAATCTATAGACATGCATTTAAATTCCTTTGAGATTTTCAGTATAAACAAGGTAGGTTTACGCCAGACCGCGTCTTGTCGTAACAGGCTTCGCGATGTGTCGCTGCCTGTTTCTCCAATCCGCGCCTGGCGTACCTACCTTGGCCTGCGGCGCTAGGCTGCCTTCGGCAGACAATGCTTGTCCATCATCAGTTACTTCAGAACTGTTGCATGCTGGGGGCCCCCAGACCCCCCTTCATTCTGGATAGAGGTGCTTCATCTACAAATTACACGATCTTGACCCTTGTAACTTTTCAACTTGTCGTGGCTCCCCCTTTCATCCAGACAGGGGAGGTCTACCGACAGAAAACTCGATTTTTCGCCGTTTTTTAGGTGTTTTTCGGCTATAAAAACTGAACCACTTGAGCTAGGATGGTGAAATTTCGCGTGTGCCGAGCCAAGAACATACCTAATAACCCTGCAAAATCTCAGCCAGATCGGCCGAGCCGTTCAGGAGGAGTAGTGTACACACACACACACACAGACAGACAGACAGACACACAGACAGACAGACAAAACTTTTCAACCGCACTGGAGTAACAGGCTTCGCTATCGCTCAGCCAATTAAGGGGGCAGTCTCGTCCCTGTACCCTTTTTAGGGGGGTTTTTCCCCCCCCTCTTTTGATGACGATGATTTTTTAAATATACCTCTTAGAGACAAACGGTAAAAACCAAATGGAAGAACGGAATTTTTACAACATTTTCAAAAAAAAATATTTTGTTTTGTCTTCAGTTGTAAGGGAGTTATAGGGAATGCAACAAAAGCCGACAAAACATACAAAATTTCACTGCGCGACAATTTTCTCCGGAAGTTCTTAACTTTTTGGCAATCGGTTTGCGGCATCTTGAAGATGAAAAAATCCTCTTTATCTTAACCTACAATCGTCCATATAGCCCAAGGATTACACTTTTTAAAACGTAACCAAAAACCTATACAAACTTAGGAACGGTTTTAATTTAGGTTTCCCTTGGGCTACATGGACGATTGTAGGTTAAAGTAAAGAGGATTTTTTCATCTTCAAGATGCCGCAAACCGATTGCCAAAAAGTTAAGAACTTCCGGAGAAAATTGTCGCGCAGTGAAATTTTGTATGTTTTGTCGGCTTTTGTTCCATTCCCTATAACTCCCTTACTACTGAAGACAAAACAAAATATTTTTTTTTGAAAATGTTGTAAAAATTCCGTTCTTTCATTTGGTTTTTACCGTTTGTCTCTAAGAGGTATATTTAAAAAATCATCGTCATCAAAAGAGGGGGGGAAAACCCCCCTAAAAAAGGGTACAGGGACGAGACTGCCCCCTTAAAGCAAGTGTGCTGCAGCAATAATATAAACTCGTTGAACGGGGTAGGCATTTTACGCTGAACCCTCTTTTGCCGATTGTTTCCACCCACGCAATGGCAATTCAAATTTCCCACGTCACCTTTTATTATAAACATACAGCTCAAGGAGACATGGCCATCAATTTGCTATATGAGCAGTTGCCAAAATTCGGGGCACTTTTGAAGGCCATAGAACCGCAAGAAAAAAAATGTGGAAAAGTCGGCTTTTTTCTCGGCCAATTTATTCAGTGATGTCCCACGACTTATACCTGAACGCAGTCGAGCTCCCGGTGCAATATTGCAGAAAGACCAAAAAGCCCCTATCAAAAGTGTAGGGGAAAGACACGGAACGTTACAGAAAACAGCGGGATACGGAACGTTACATTTTCATTCAAACAGGCCTAGTAACTCTCTTGCTATGAATTAAAATACGCCATTTGGTGTGAGCACCTGTTTTAAGATTCCTCAACACGTCCCGAAAGAACCATGTCTCTGGTTGGTCTATAACTTGCCCGGGGAACAGAAAAGCATTTTAAAATCATGGTCGGACACTACCGAAACATAACCTATAAAACAAGATTCTGAGCTTTCTATTAACTTCTCAGAGTTCCCGTTTGCACCATTCGACGGCAAAAATGCTACAGATTAATCTGATGACAAGGCCGAGAACTATCAGTGGAGTGCAACGCGAGAAACCGTGATAATTCACATGTAACGTTCCGCAAAGTCAACCACGGAGGACATTTTGCGTTTACAGATTGCACCCAAATCGAGCTCGTAAAAACGTGTTCAGTAACATGTATCTGATAGATAAAATAATAAAGTTTCCGAATATCTTCTCAGAATCGTTCTACGTTCCATATTAGCTGAAATATAAGCATCGAAACTTTGAATTTATGGACGGGGGACATGCCGGAACGTTACAAAATGACCCTTTGGAGCACTTTATCGACATCTTCTGAATTGAAAAAGTGGTGACTTAAGATGGATAAGAGTGGGCGACGTTGAGCCCAATACAACGCACCAAACCGCATCTCAATACGTTGAAAAATAACGATTATAGAGCCAAAAGACACGAAAGATACCCTTATTTTGGCAACTGCTCATATCATCGCCTACGTAAAATAGTGACAAGATTAAACTTACCTCCGACCTTGTCTTCGGGTTTAATGTTGCGCGAAGCCAGGAACTGCCATGACTTCTTTTATATTGGTGTAAAACCATGTGTACCCAAAAGCTCCTAGATCCCACGCTCGGAGGCCATCCGCAAGATGTATATTTTCTTATTGGTTAACACTGCTCCAACCACCTGAAGTTAGTCAGACCCAGCCATATGTGCAGAAGTTCTTTGTTCCATGGTAGTTCCTCGGTCCATCATGTCATCAATCCTCCCCTCCATCGTAATGTGGACTCTCGTACCGCTTCTGATCTCCGATCACGTCCGATGCAAAAACATCAATACTTATGCCGTACGTCCAGGGAAGTTATGTTTCTACGTTCGGTCTCGTCAGTCTGAACGGTCCCCTTCTACTTGCTTAAATGGACAACTTTGTACGCATAAAATCCAAGGGAAGGACAGCGGGACAGTCTATGTGTCTCACGCTTAACAGTGTGAGCCACATGTGACTGTCTAACACTTTGATTTGCAGTGCTCCTGGCTCAATACGTACGGCTTCGTCCACATTGAAATCTGAAAATAATTTCATCCTTGTAGTGGGTACAGATTTTACCTCAAAAACTACAATTTGTCTTTGAACAGATACGATTTTGTCCTCGGAATTGAATGCGCACAAAGTTGCATCCAGCAAGGCACAATGTTCATTTAGTTTGTGTTCTGTGTTTTCTTTTGTTTTGACCTCACAGGTGTTCGTAAGCACTGGAAATTCTGTGGCCGACTGTTCGATCCTCACAAAGTTGTATGTTTCTAGGGGCCGTTCATCGCTTATGTCCATTCGGCTACGATGTGCCCATCGGATAGAACCATTTCGCATTTCGTCCGCTTTTCCCACTTCAACCCAGTCCGACCTTTCGATCTTCAAAAAATGTGGGGAAATGTGACATTCAATTTAAATTTTACGGACAATTTTTGGGTAAGGCAAACACGTTTCTCCTCAAAATTTGGTAACAAATTTATGAGGGTTTAGGTTGATGTTGCGAAGCTGGGCGGTTCCATCTCAATTAAGTAAAAATGTGGGATGAGCGCATGAATGTAGCTGATATTCGCTGGAAAAACCGTCCTCAGACACAGCGACCCATGTACCTTACCTTCGAACACGGTGCAAACCAGTTCAAAGTGGGTTCTCTGTCAAAAACGAAAACAAAGTGCTCCCATCACTGGGCAAAAGGTGGCCATCACTTGGCAAACTGTACTGATATTTTGGTTAATATTTTATTAAAAAATAAATTTATTTTTGCTGGTTTTCAACCTTAACCTGTATTCTATCCTTCCTGAAAATTTTCATATCGGTACGACGTGCGGGACACTCAGTAAAGGGGTTGAAGGCGCATCAGTGCCCTAAAAGCGGCCATTACTGGGCACCTTACCCTACACCAACGTGTAACGGTATTCGTCTCAAAATTAGGAAATCCAGTCAAAAAAAAAAAAAAAATAAAATTGGGTGTTTGATTTTTCCCCGCCCTGACTCTAAAGAGTTACATCACATTTCAGTCACGGATTGATTGGGCACTACGAGCGAACAACCAATGGAAAGAAAACTTCTACATCATGGATTTCCCTAAAACCGGATGCAGCGCATTGCGTGATCACATACCCGACCTTTTCCGGACACTAGCGAAACTCAGCGGGGCACCGACGGACAAGAGGACAGCCTGTGTCATTCCTGCGGTATCTGATCCATGAACCGGAAGAAGGGGATAACTCAATTTTCATTATTTTTCAGGAGAAACAAAAAACTGTTTGCAGGGTAAACTAAATCCAATCAAATGAATGATGTAATTGTATTTTTGTCAAAAAAGCCTAAGAATTAACTGTGAATATTTTCCAAAGTGTAGCATCACTCTGTAACCGGTTTCTGGGTATTTTTTTTAAATGAGACACTTTTCGGATTCGATGTCACCGATTTCGCTCATTTTTGGTGGATCGTCACCAATTCGGGTCTAGTTGATGTATGCAAAATTTGAGCCGATTCGGTCTAGCCGTTCCCGAGTTCTGGGCATGGGTCATTTTGATGGTTTTCGTTAAAATTAGTGACAAGTTTCAGAAAAGTTCAACTATATCGGCCAATTTTCAAGCTATCGAAAAAACGAGACTACCGCTAAAAAGAGCATAAAAAAGGAATAGATCCCGCGCTCGGACACGTTTCTAGCGAGCATAGTTTTTGCAGTGAAGTGTCTCAAAGTTTCCGATTTTCATTTCAACACCACCAAAATACCTCATCTTGGATTTCCTTGGAAATTGGTGAAAATGCTCCTTATTCCTTCTTCTTAAAGGGGCAAAAGAGTTTCGCCCGGAATTGCACCTCAGACAGTTTTTTAGGGGGTCAAATGTGTGTTTGGGGGCCTAAAAACACCTCAAAAGTGACCCAAACGGGCATCGTCGCGAGCCCACCGCGTTCGTATCACGCGCCAGTAGTCCTGCCATGGTAAATTTTTCATACTCCAGCGTCCCAATGTTTGTTGTTCGACTTAGGTTATGGGGAAAATTCCAGGGGATTGGCACGACCTGAATCTCATGTCGTCAGAACTTGATGAAAGTTGGCTCAAATGTTATCCCCCGGAAAGTAAACACCTACGAACCCATGCTTCGCACCACACTGTAAAAAAAAATCCTGAAATTTCAGAACAATTTGTTCAGTTAGACTTCGCAGTCTGAATTGGTAGTCAGATATTTGAATTGGTTTTTGAGACTAGAAAGTCTGAAATTTGAGATCACACTAGTCAGTCTGAATTTTGAGCACAAGGTCGGAAAATTTTGTTCATGTTTTTAGACTTGTCATCCTGAAACTCGTTTTCATAATTTGGCTGAGCGATAGCGAAGCCCTTGCCGTGTTTGGGCGCTCCGAAAAGTGACTGGTCGTGCGTCTGTCTGTCTGTCTGTATGTAATCACTCACGTTTCTCAGCAACTACTGAACGAATAGTATCCAAATTTCACACCTGATGTCTCCTAAACATCCTACAGGGGGAGTTTATCTCAGATTAACAATTATCATCGTTTGAAATATTCAAAACATCATTTTGAACTAGGTAATTAGCGTGTTTAGGTTGGTAGCAGTGTGTGGCTGACCAATTTCTCATACCGGCTGCCGCGCTTGCAAGCCGTCTGCAAGACGGGACGGCACTTATGCAAATAAACAAACTAAAGAGCAAAGGGGTTCTCAAATAGGTACTGAGATAGTTTTTTAACATTCTAGAATGATTGAAACCCCCAGCCAGAAATGAAAAATCGATCAGAGGTCGAATCGAGGTCTAGAGCGTCGAGCATAGGGGGAAGTCGATTTCAGCATCGAGAATTGTCGGATTTCGAATGTCACAATTTCGTCACGACGCCGTTTTTAACACGTAGCTGAAACGTGTCACCACCAAAGAGAGGCATTCTCACGATGTTTTAGGGGAGAATATCAGAATGACGTCGAAACTAGGTCGAAACTAGGTCGACGTGTAAGTTAACATTGGATGACTCGTAGAAATGAAAGTACTGTATCTTTGGAGAACTTTTTTGGTGTGGAACAGTTATGTAAACACTTTGCACACTCCTGAATGCCGTACCCCGACACAAATTCTAAGTCATGCTTCGAAAAATGGTCTCTTAACTCACGGTTTGAAAATGCGTTTCTCATTGCCGTGAACAACATATCAAAATATGGCGACAAGTTTTTTTCAGTCGTTCAAAAAACTTAGAAAAATTTTTATGCCGGTTTACGCCTACCTTCCGCCGTTGTTTTTCGTGCCAACCTTAAACATGAAAAGTCCGGTAAAGGCCAGCGTTAAAGGTTGATTTCATCCCCAAGAACACTCGTCTTAATTCAACAGGTAATAAAATAAGAATTTTTTCATGGCTTGCGCCAGTATATACATCTGTTAGGTCATTGTTTCAATCGTGTTATTTTGATTTTCAGCGTTGGCTATGCTTTGCAGTGGCATCCATCTTTCAGACAGCTTTCGACTTCCGACTTCCTGTTTCCGCCCTCATGTATTGCCATAGTCATTGCGCAAGAACGCATTGCGTCCAAAGACAATGTAAGTATTGCGTCATTGCTCTCGAGCTTTGGATTTATCGTCATCGTCTCTTGTTATCGGTCGCAATCTACATCGACTCATTGAAACGTTCGTATTGCGCGTCAACTCATCCGCCTTTCTAAGGCAGCGTTCACGCACATTTGCTGGTGTCGTAGTTTAGGCCTAGCGGTCCCTTTCTTCATTGTCTTCATGCCTTTCTTGTGCATGGTTCTACATTATCATTGAACGCTTCGCAATATTTTCAACTGTCCTTCACCATTACTCTTCTGAGGAAGCTCAATGTCATTGAATTTGTAAGTGGTAAGCACCTAACCTTTCCTAACCTCGCCCGGCGTCAATTGTGCTGCCAAAGTACTTTGTAGAACAAAGAACATTTCTCCATGTCTGAGTGTTCACCGCGAGACGCAAACAGATCGATTTTGTAGCCCACTCGTTTAAATCTTTTCAGAATGTCAGAAACCTGTCTGAAAGCCTGATCAAAATTCACGCTCCTCTGAAGGCTGAAAACTTCTGACAATCAATATCAGAGTAATTTTTCAGAATTTCAACTTTTAAAGGTGCGCGAACTTTGATCAGGATTTCAGACATGTTTCGGACATTCTGACAATTTACATGAGTGCCTGTAAGTTTGAAAGTGTCTTGTTATCGTTTTCTTACTTCTTTGTTATTTACAGTGCCCTGTCCTGCTGATTTACTGTTTGGTCCCGTTTTCTGCTGAGGACACCATGGAAGTTTCACTGGATAAACCTGTAAGCATTTAATCTCCTTCAAGCCATCTCCATATTTTGGTGTAGATCCATTTGCACCAAATATGTCTGCTCCATTTAAGCGGGCCCTTCACCGCAAAGCTTGCAGGGAGAGTTCCAAGCGGATACGCTTAGATTGTTTGCGGGTTGAGCTGGGCAGGTCAGAGGATTCTGCTAGGACTGTTCATTCTGTGCTGCCTCCTGTCAATGTTAGAGGTCAAGAGGTCCATCCCTTGACTCTATCGCTGAGGTGGATGAGATTGAGGATGATGTCTGTGGCGCAGATGTGGATCATATGACGTCCAATAACGTGCTCAGTGTTATTCATGCTGGTGAAACGGCTATTATGGAAGATAGCAACTGTTCTGAATCTGACCGAAGTGGCGTTGATGATGTTGACGACTTAAGTGATGATGCTGATGAAAGGCCTGTGTTCAAGTCTGAGGCTGAGAAGGAGCAGTATGTTATTGATTCAGTTCGTGAGTGGGCTCAAGAGCCTGGTGTCTTGTCAATGACCAAATTGGATCATTTATTGCACAGGCTAAGTGTTGTGTTCCTAACATGCCTTTGACCTACACCACTCTTTTTGCTTGTGAGTACAATTTTCCAATTTGTGAGCTGCCAACAGGTGGTGAGTTGTGGTACAAAGGCATTCGGGCCAATCTTGATAAGCTGAAGCTTGCAGAGTACCTTAAGAAGTATAACAAAGTTACTTTGGATATTGGCATTGATGGTTTACCTCTCAACAAGAAAGGGAATCCCTCTAAATTGTGGCCAATTCTAGGCCATTTAGTTGGCACTGTCAATGCTCCATTTATCATCGCTGCTTTCAAATGGACCCGGGATCCTCAGGATGTTAATTCTTTTATGTCTGATTATGTCAAAGAAGTTCAAGATTTATTTATCAGTGGATATACTTTTGAGGGAAAGGAGTACCAATTTGAAATCAGATTCTACATTTTAGATGCTGTAGGAAGGCAGTTTTTGAAGTGCATAACGACTCATGGTGGGTTTGCTGGCTGTGAAAAGTGTGAAGTATGGGGTGAGAGCTATCGTTCCAGGCTCATTTACCCGGATCTTGACTCCCTGCTCGCACGGATGAGTCCTTCCGCCTGCGCACTCAGCCTCGACACCACAAGGGAGTTTCTCCTCTTGAGGCCTGTGGCACAGGAATGGTGTCTCAATTCCCGTTAGACCCAATGCATTTGGTCTGGGGAGGCGTTGTGAAAAGGCTCTTAGACACATGGTTAAATGAAATTGGTGTATGGAAATTGCATAATGTAGTTATTGAACTAATTTCTGAAGTGTTTCTTTTTCTCAAGCCTTATTGCCCTGCTGACTTTAATAGAAAACCCAATTCTTTAAAGTACATTAAGAGTTTCAAGTGTACTGAGTTTCGTAGAATTGTTCTTTATGATGGAATCCTGGCCTTCAAAGACTTGATTGATGACAATATTTACAGGCACTTCCTCCTTCTCCATGCTAGTTGTTATGTCATGTGTAGTAAGACACTCTACACTCTGCATCGTGAAACTGTGGTTGAAATGATCCAATCCTTTATCTCTCATTCTTCTGTAATTTATGGAAAGGAATTTGTTGTGTACTGTGTACACTCACTAAAACATCTACCCAGTCAATGTGATCTTGGTTTCACATTAGACGACTTGACAGCATTTAAGTATGAAAATAGACTTAAGTCTATTAAAGAGGCTCTAAGAAATGGTCTTCATACCTTGCAGCAATTGGCTCGTAGAGACGAAGAAAAAAGTTCAGGTGATGTCAATCTTGCTTCAAAGCCATGTCATGTCACTGTGTCTTTAAAGCACAAAATTTTAAATGAAGTTATTGATGGCCATCAGTTTCGAAAGTTGAAAGCTGGGAGCCTCATGCTGCGGGTGGGGAAGGCCAATGGTTGTTTCAAGACCAAGGATGGAAACATTATTGTCCTTCAGAATATTGTCAAGAAGCAGCTTAAAATTTATCTTGTTGGGTGTAAGTTTGGGTGTCAAGAAGATTTTTATGACTACCCTCTCCCATCATCGCAATTGGGTATCTTGAAAGTATCTGGGTTAGGAAGAGAGAAGCTTGTCTACTGCTTAAACGATGTTGCTAGCAAGTGCTACTTAATGCCAGATGGGAACCATTTTTTGTGTGTGCCCATCCTTCACTCTTCAGAGTTGATGTGATGGGCACTTTTCACGAGTCAAGTTCCTGCTCTCATTGTACTCAATTTTTCCAGTTTGCCATCCTCAAGTTTCCACCTGCTGAAGATGAAGAATCCATGGAAGTCGGCTTGGCAAGCTGGCTGGTTGGAGGTGCAGAGTGCCTTAGCGACGAAATGGATGGGATGACTTTCTGGCCAGAGTCAAAGAATGTAACAAACTATGTCAAAACTCAACATCCTCATGACCCTCTCTGGAAGACATACCCTGTCAAGGTCCTACGTTTCTATGGTAAGTTACTGGTCCTCTGTATGAAGTTTCATCCTCTGTTAATTTCTTTTAATACTTTGAACTCTTTGTCCATAGAAACTTATGTGAAAGCAAGGGAGGCCTTACCCAAATTCATAGCGGACTCAAATTACGACACTGAGGTTGAGTGCAGCCTTCCCAAAGGACGTGGCAAGCGGATAAGGTTTAAACCAGCTTTCCTTGAATCTTCTGATGAAGATGAAATTGTGCCAGTGAAAAAGTCACGTCAGTCTGTTCCTCCTCCACCACCTATCTCAACCACAACAAAGGTTCGGAAGGGGCAGGGTTCAGCAGAAGATGTCAAGAAGAAAGCCAGAGAAGATGTAATGGCTCGGTTGAAGGCTGCCAGGGCTGCAGCTGCCGCAAAGATGGCTCAGTCTGCAAGGCTGTCGCCCTTGAAGGCTGTGGCCAGGATTTCACCAGCTAAGTCCCCAATCAAGGCCAATAATTGGGAGGTTACTGAAATGCAAGTTAAGGCTCAGGCTCAGGTACATGTGGATGTAAGTCAACAATAATATTTTGAAAGTACAATTTTTCTTACAAGCATGTGTCACATATTTTTTGTTTGCTAAAATTGCAGGCCACTGCACCCATTTCGCCTCTAAATGTTGCTTCATCAACTCGAAGTGTTGGCTCAGACATTCTCGCTACACCTACTCAGATGAGTGTTGGTCTAGTCACTCCGAACTCCAGGAGCGGACCTGCTTCGGATTTCTCTTCTCTGTTTGACAATGGTGAGATGCTGGATGTATCCATGGATGAAGAGGACCCTGAAGCCATTCTGACTGACACACCGGTTAGTAGTGCTGCTTCATTTTAAAAATTATTTGAAAGGTGCCACATTAAATGAGTCATTGCTGTTTCAGGTCACTCCACTGAAATCTCCTTCACCCAAGAGAGACCAGAGGTCACTGCTTGAACGGACTAAGTCATTCTACATCTCGCCATTATCCTTTGAGAGGCAAACTTCTTTAACTGAAAGAGGGAATCTAGTTACTCCCACCAGAGGGACCTCCAGTCCCCTGAAGTCGGTTCATAGGAACAGAACATCTCCTAAATCTAAGTTGGCTGGTACTTCCTCTGCTGGAGGTGGCCTCTCAAAGTTAGATGGGCGGATCAACCTCTTCCCTCAAGGAATGAATGCAGGTAGGTATTCTGGTAGGCTGAAGTCCTAAGACTGAGAATTTCATTATACAATCTTATGACCTGAATGCTAATGATGTCTTCTGTTCATCCAGATGATAGGCTGAAGGCACTGCAAGTTTCTGTGAGCCGCTTGAACATAGATGTTCACGAAACTTCACAAAAAATTGATCTTATTCTCATGAATCTGAGCCGTCTGCAGAGGGCCCTGGTTCCTAATGAAAATAGGCTGACCATGCCCGCCAACATGCCAAAGCTCCCTCTTGAAGACCGTACTCAGCTGAATCATTTTGAAACGTTCTTGGGGGAAAATGACTTAAACTTGGCAGCTGTGGTAAGTACTAATACTTCTATTGATTTTTATGTGGCTTGTCTGTCTGGTTCTTTGTCTTAAACTGTTTTTCTGTTTTAGTGTGACTACATGTCCAATTATATTAAGACATCTGTTACTGAGCCAGAGCGCAAAAGTGCAACCAACATTTTATCAAAGCTCCTAACCAACGACTTAGCAAAGGAAATGAACTTGGAAGGGGGAAACAAGAAGATTGCTTTCAGAAGTCTTAACCTTTACAAGGTGTTCCAAGGTGTGTATACTTCCAGTAGCATTTTATAAAATCGATGCTGATACTGCACCATTTCCAAAGCGCTTATTTCATCAACAGTGTTATAATTTTATTTCTGGTTTCAGGTACCCTTCAGACAGCATTCCCTGACAGCGATCTTATTACTGCTGAACAGGCATTGAAGAATTGGCTTAAAGATGCCAAGTGGCGCAAGCAACGTGTGCCTGATGCTGCCTAAGTGATCATTTTTGTCCTTACATTACTGTTATGTTCCTTGCATCTAAATGCCTGTTTATATTCTTTTAATTTTGCTGAAATGTTCTGTGATTCTATGTAGCACAATATTATTTAGTTACCCTGATAGATATAAGGGCTACTTTGTACCTTGAATTTCAGAAAAATGCTACTTTTTTGTTTTTTTGTTCCTTTTATTTTCTGACGTGTTCTCAGTTATTCTCTGTAGCTTTAGTAGGTAATGTTGTGAATTCAAACTACTCCTTACATCAAATTGTAGCAAACTGTTTGTTTGTAGTCCCCTTATTTTTGTGAAATGATTTGCTCTCAGCTTGAATGTAATCCTGCAAGATTTTGAGGCTACTTGTTTACCTTGAACTTAAGGAATATCTTTTTATGTTTTTAATATTCGTGACGCATGTTCTCGAGTCATTCCCTGCAGCTTTCTTAAGTAATCGCTATTAATTTTTTTTTTGTTACTTTGTTCTTATAATTTTTTTGAGGTTGTCAGTCATTATCTGTAGCTTTAGTAGGTAATTTTGTGAATTCAGACTTCTTCTTACCCTTAAATTGTGGCAAACTGTTTGTTTGTAGTCCTTTTTTATGCAAACTTTGCTGTTAGCTTAAGAACGCAATCCTGGAAAGTATTGGGGCTACTTGGTTCCTTTATCTTCAGGAATATCTTTTTGTTTTTAATATTCTTGATGCATGTTGTCAGTCATTCCCTGTAGCTTTCTTTGATAATCTGCTACTATTATTTTTTGTTGTGTTGTTCTTTTAATTTTTCTGAGGTTGTCAGAGTCATTTCTGTAGCTCTGATAGGTAATTTTGTGAATTCAAACTACTCCTTACATCAAATTGTAGCAAACTGTTTGTTTGTAGTCCCCTTATTTTGTGAAATGATTTGCTCTCTGCTTGAATGTAATCCTGCACGATTTTGAGGCTACTTGCTTACCTTGAACTTAAGGAATATCTTTTTACGTTTTTAAAATTCTTGACGCATGTTCTCAGTCATTCCCTGCAGCTTTCTTAAGAAATCGCTATTAATTTTTTTTGTGACTTTGTTCTTATAATTTTTCTGAGGTTCCCAGTCATTATCTGTTGCTTTCATAGGTAATTTTGTGAATTCAGACTACTTCTTACCCTTAAATTGTGGCAAACTGTTTGTTTGTAGTCCCTTTATTTTGTGAAGAAAATTCCTATTTGCTCTTGGTCATTCTGTTGGCTTAAGCGTAAAAACCCTTTATGTTTGAGATCGGAGGTAATTTTTATGTTGTAACGCCTGATAGTTTCAACATTCCTTGTTTAGGAATTTGTTAAAGGGTGTTTTGTATTGAATTGCAATACAGGGTTGCTTGCACAGGAATTTTTTTTTTAAATGTTTATGTCCCAGCTATTTTTATGGGTAATTTCCGAAAAGTTTCGTTTCCTTGTATTTTTACGTTTCAATGTTCTCTTTGAAAAATATTTAAAACAAAATATCTTTTTTCAATCCTTTTCTTTTTACGGGGTGCAATTGGTGGAATTATTTTGGGACTTTTTGCTCTCCCGCTAAAAAAAAATTTTTTTTAGTGACTTTATTTCAGGGGGCGGGGGTTTTTGGACCACAAACCCCCAATCGTAAAAAATTTCGACTTAACGTCGATCCCCCTCCTCGAACTCGAATCGACCTCGGATCGATTTTTCATTTCTGGCTGGGACCATTCCGGGGTGTCAACAGAGGAAAATACGGAAACTAAATGTGAGAATGGTTTACGTGTTTCGTTCCCCTCTTCCCCCTCCCCCGTCACAGGGGAACAGGTCAGTGCACTGAGTGTAGTTGTGGATAGTAAGAATGTTTTCTTTGCCTTTGTGTGCATCTACTGATTTTATTCTCTCTGATACTATCCTAATTTTTAAAATTCATAGTAAATAAAGTCAGGTAAATGCATGAATAACTTTTGTTGAAATTCGAAGACATGTTAATTGTCTTGGTTTGTCTCGGGGAAATGACACTCTATTGCAATGCTGCAAGCTAACATAAATATTCTAGTACTTACATCTATTGATTAAAAGAATCCATCAATAGATGTATTTTGTGCAATAAATAATCCATATATTTAGTGCTAACAGATTTTGAACTGATATTGGGTTCAATGAGACGATTCAAATTTTGAGCGGTGGGTGACTTGGTAATTGCTTTTAATGGGACGATTCCTTTCACTTCACCAAAGCTTGTGTCCGACAACTGGAACCAAGTATTGGTAATGATTTGAAAGCTGGCTTTCTGAATGTAAGCCCAATGTTAATATTATACTGTATTCTTTTACTCTAAAGATAAAATATCACGAGGCATGAATAAGGTAAATTAAGGTGGCGTATTGAACAACAAGTGGCCTCTGCATTTAACTTCATGAGACGATTCACTGAATTCGACAAAACTTGTTCTCCGTCGAGTGCTTCAGATCAGCCTGCCCTAAACTGAGTCACTTAATAAAAACTATGATTACATATTCCAGTCTATATTGTTCAATTCACTGGTTTTAAATGAAAGAATGACAAAAGGCTTCTCAAATATAACTAATAAATTTGTGAATTCATTAGTTTGAAGAAAAAGATGTATCGAATAGTGAGTCAAGCAGACGAGTAGCTAATTAAGCGATTCAATGCTGGCAATAGAATGTTACTCGACTGAAGGAATCGCATTGGTGTGGCATTAGGGTATTGGTGACGACAAAGGGTGATCCATGAAGACAAACCCAGACCCATTCTTTACCCATTATTGATCAATTTGATATCAATATTTTTCAATCGAATCTCATATTCATTCTTGGAGTTTTTGGAGTGCTGATTATGAAAACCACTTCCATCTCTACTCCAGACTTATATTTTCATCTCAAATTAGGTCATTTCGGACCAAAATTTTCAGGTCGAGTTTTATATTGTTTCCTGCAGTGTTTGATGAGCTGAACTCAAAAATAACTTCCAAATTTTTCCCAGACTCAAGCTTTACCCAATTTTGACCAAATTTGGACCAAAATTTTTGAATTGAGTTTGATGTTGATCCCAACAGTTTTTTGTATGCTGATAACGAAAATCACCTCCATTTCGACTCCACACTTATATTTTCATCCCAAATTAGGTCATTTTGGACCAAAATTTTCAAATCAAGTTTTTTATCGTTTCCCGCAGTTTTTGGTGCGCTGAGCTCAAAAATGACTTCCAAATTTTTCCCAGACTCACGCATTACCGAATTTTGACCGATTTTGGACCAAAATTTTGGAATCGAGTTTGACGTTGATCCCAACAGTTTTTTGTGTGCTGATAACAAAAATCGCTCCCATTTATACCCCAGACCTACATTTCACTCAATATGAGCCCACAAGCTGCAGTCCGAAGTGCACAAATTCGCATCGCTCAGCCACACTACGCGCCCACTCAAAACGGCGCGTACCCCTAGTTTCAGTATGGAAGTTTTCACAGATTGTGTACCAATAGACCATGGATTCTACACTCTCATCGCAAGTACGTGACGTCACGTTGAAACGAACGTGACAAAGTGACAGGTTTGTTTTAGCGTCACTCGTTTGAACGTGAACAAGCTAATTTTTGGCCGATTCACATGCAAACGAATGTGACAAAGCTGAAACGAACGTGACATTTTGTCACATTCGTTTCAGCGTGATGTCGCGTACTTGGAATCAGAGTGTAGTCGTGGCCAAGTGAGGAACAAGAAGAATCACAAAAGTGTACTTTTGTGCACTTTTACTTCAAAATGTTAAGTCGGGGGGTCAGAGTACGGAGTGATCACTTGTCAGTGGTGAATGGAGGACGTGGTCAGTGAGAGTGTGGTCGGCTGTCCTAGACCCGCATTTATTAGAGAATAGTTTCATTAACTTCTACCAAGCAAGGAGGGGGTCTAGGACAGAAGAAGAAACAGAATGTTTTTGGCGATGCTTTCACTACGAACCAAACTGTTTCCTAAGAACACACTTGCATGCTTACATTTACACACGCAGGGTTGCCACGCGTCACGGAAATCGTGGAAATGTCATGGAAATCGGCCACAGTGTCGGTGCAATGGAGTAATGTGGACCTCGGTTGAGTCACTTCCATTTTCCGATAAAATTTAGACCATAAAAGGGGTCAAGATGAGTTATATCCATTTTTCGTGTGGATTTTCTCCTAAACTGTTAGGAATTGGGTCAAACAATTTGGTGTAATGATGCAAACCATCCTGAGGCACAATCACAAGATAAAAACTCAAATTGGAGATGAGTCCAATTATTCCCTTCTTCCGCTTCCTGGATCAAATAGTTAATATTGTCGCCTTCCACGCAGTCCTCACGCACGCCCGCCACTAAGCCACATAACCTAAGTCGAACAATAAACATTGGGACGCTGGAGTATGAAAAATTTACCATGGCAGGACTACTGGCGCGTGATACGAACGCGGTGGGCTCGCGACGATGCCCGTTCGGGTCACTTTTGAGGTGTTTTTAGGCCCCCAAACACACATTTGACCCCCTATAAAACTGTCTGAGGTGCAATTCCGGGCGAAACTCTTTTTCCCCTTTAAGAAGAAGGAATAAGGAGCATTTTCACCAATTTCCAAGGAAATCCAAGATGAGGTATTTTGGTGGTGTTGAAATGAAAATCGAAAACTTTGAGACACTACACTGCAAAAACTATGCACGCTAGAAACGTGTCCGAGCGCGGGATCGATTCCATTTTTTATGCTCTTTTAGTGGTAGTCTCGTTTCTCGGTAGCTTGAAAATTGGTCGATTTAGTTGAACTTTACTGAAACTTGTCACTAATTTCAACGAAAACCATCAATATGACCCATGGGGGGAACGGCTTGACCGAATCGGCTCAAATTTTGCACACATCAACTAGACCCTAATTGGTGACGATCCACCAAAAATGGGCGAAATCGGTGAGATCGAATCCGAAAAGTGTCTCATTTAAAAAATAATTACCCTTCTGTGATTCAAATCTTTACGTTGGAATTGACTACGGAACCATGTTTACTTAGTTCTCCCAAACGAGGTGTAGTTTGGAGACAATTCAAGTGGAGCTGAGGTCTTCGTCTTCGTAGAGTCTGTATTTCTGTGGTACATTTTTTGAGTTACCTCTTTTTCCAACAAGTGATGGGGAGTTCAGTTGAGTTGATTCTTTATACATTAGATATATAAAGACACAAGTTGAGTTACCTCCTGCCATTTTGTACAATGGGCAGATTCCAGACCTAAAGGTCAAGCCATTTGCCAACACCTCATGGATTTGGACCAAAATTGGTATACCTATACCTTTTAAAACAAAAAAAAAATTGATGAGTTTTTTTTTGTCGTTAAAAATAAAAAACGTTTTTAGTTTATTTGACGTCATCACCGAAAGTGCTCTAAACTTCACCAAAAACTCATCATATGTTCTCTTTTCACCTGCCAAGTGCCAATACTGTTAACTTAATACTTTGGGGGATATCATGGATTACGAGTCCAAAAATTTGGAACCAGAAAGAAATAATGCAATTCCAGTTAGTTTGCTCTTAGTTGTAATGAGTCAAATTGACATCATCCTGATGTCACATTTCCAGAGGGTGACTAAATTTTGTCATTTTTCAGTCACTTGATGTCAATGAGACTATTTTCTGTTCTTTGGGATACTGAGTACACACTTCAGTTTGCAGAGTTCGTTACTTTTGCTGAGCCTACTGGATCGACAATCATTTGCTTCTTTCCAGGGATTCTATGAATTCATCAACGAACCAGTCAGCTGGCTTCTTCCACCCCTGACCGTGTTGCCTTATGGACGCTACCGAGTGCGAATGAAAAGCCGAACTGACAGCGACAGCAGGGCCACCTCACGTCTCTGTCTGGAAGTTGACTGTGAATTCGTGCCAAAGCCTCATTCATAGCCAGAGTCTTGTGAGAATCAAAAGATCCTTCATTGCACGAGTAAGTCAAAGGCATCAAAACTACACCCTTTAGGACATAAACAGTCTGTTATTCCCTTTAAGGGCGTGAATCGTTTAATGCCCTTGGGAAGGGCGTAAATGGTATAGAACTTTCAAGGTGAAATTTTGACGCCCTTTTAAGGGCATTAACGATTCACACCTTTCCACGGGCCTAAATCATTTACGCCCTCTTAAGGGCATAATTTTAATGCCTTTGTCTCTCTAGTGTTACCTCGTAAGGGCATCATAACGCTGTCGTCAAAGTTATAACCTGTAACCTCTTAAAAAGGACAAAGTTATTCTATGGCCTGTCGAATTTGTATTTAGAAATACTAGCATCAGTCCATACGAACGTTGCCTTACGTTACGTTATGAGAGCAGTGTTCGCTATATTTCAGTGGGAAACACAAGTGGCTCGACTAGTCTGCCATCATTGCAGTAAATAACAGGAAAAGTAGCGATATACATCGGCAACTTTGGCCCGTCCCGTACATTCAGAAACGTACGAATTTCTCCTATGTTTGACCCTGACGGGAATTAAATCTGAGTCTGGGGTTAAAATAAATGTCGTTTTCGTCATCAGCACCCTCAAAAACATCAGAAACAATGCAAAAACTCGAAAAAAAAAGAATGTTCCAAAAATACCCCGCCGGGATTTGAACCCGGGTCCGAACTTCTCCGATTTGCTCGAAACTGGCACCATTGGTTTTCTCTCGTCGCCCCGATTCCAAAAATACCCCTACATGCCCTCCTAGCTGCATCCGTTGCCGAGATCCTCCTCGACCCCATGTAGACCATGATGCACCTGCAGCAGCGCCCCCGGGGCTCGGATCGGATTTGCTGCCACCGGGCGGTTCTTAGGGTCACCCAAGGAGGCTGCATACCAAATTGGTCAAGATCGGACCACGGGAAGTCCTCGGACGAACGAACGAACGGACGAACGAACGAACGAACGAACGAACGGACGCACAGCATGCATCATACTATATGCCCGTCCCTCCGTCATTTTTTTACAAAAAATAAACGGGACGGGCCAAAAAATCAGCCTTTCCGAATCCTATCTTTCACCAATCGCCAATACTGAAACCCACGTCTCATGACCGGATTTTCGAACCTAGATTTCGACCCCAATGCGACACCTAGCGGCAAACCTGCGAATGACAGGCTAGGCATACCACTCAGGAATGAACAATTTGATGGGAGAAGGAAATGGCGTTCATCATAATTCTACAATGGTATGAGAATAAAGAGATTAAGGCTAGAGCAAATCGTATATTATTAAACATTTAAACATGTATGCAATATTCCGTTAGATTACATACACTTACACGAAACTTCATTGAATGGCTTAGGTCATGTAATTTCATAAACAAGGTCAAGCGAATGGACGTTTCATCACAATGCAATAAATGTAAGGTTCCATTAAAAATAAGGACGTTTTATGAAAAATAATTTTATATACGTCATGAAATTTCATTTATTTCGACGGTAATTGCTTTTAAACCATCCGAATTTTTAGTATTATTTTACGTGCTGCTTATTCGTAGCACTTTCCTAGTACGATTATGTTTGCAAACAACACTGAAAAGTCAAAGGAAGGAATTCATTCCATCCTAGGGGAAAGAAACAAAGTCTCGCCATTCTGTGGCGAGAAACGAAAGTCTCACCATGTTTTTGGTGAGAAACAAAAGTCTCACCTTTTTTTGGCGAGTAACAAATGTCTCACCAAAATATGGCAAAAAATGGATACCGGGCATTATATCCCAGTCAATTACTGCCATATTTTGGCGAGACATTTGTTTCTCGCCAAACAATGGTGAGACTTCTGTTTCTCGCCACAGAATGGCGAGATATTTTTGTCTCAACAAATTTGGGCCATCAGTCTCGCCATTCAATTTTCAGTGAGTGGACATTGCTGGAGAGGGCCAGATTTTTCATTGTGTCACATTCTCAGGAGGGCAGTGCTGTGTTAGTTGCTATGCTACAAATCTTTGGGAGTTATAGAGATCGATATGTGTCCGCCAGTTTGATCACTTTCATTTGGGAACGTTGTAAACTGGGTGGCGTATGATTTGACTGTACAGTTTCGTCAGGAGCCCCATTCTTTCGGGATACAAGTCTCGCTTGACGGTCAGCTCGTCGCCGAATTCCAGGTACACGTCCTTCCCCTTGAGCTGGCGCGGCCACAACACTGGAGTGTGTTCTGTCACGTTGGGCGTCGGATTGCTGAAAAAGATGAAGCGGAAAGCTGGATAGGGTACTACTTCGGTGGAAATCCAGATAGGAACACTCTCAGCACGTTACTGACTTTTTAGCAGATGATACCTTCACGCTTGAAACATACTTAAAACTACCATACACAAATGAAGGTGTCAGCGTGCTTTTACTCTCGAGTCCAGAAACCAAGCGCGTATCCTAACAATATAATAGGGGCTGGCGGCCGGGACGGGCTGGTGTGTCTGGCTGGCTGGCGGTGAGGCGCAGCCTGCACGGAATTCGACAATCCCTCCCCGGTACAGCGCCAGCGGCACCGGGCGTAAACAATGGCACCCCCTACCCCCTCCTCGCATGGACAATCCCTCCCCGCCTGCCACGGCGCGGAATATCGCGCAACAATGCGTCCCGATTCGGCCCGGCCCGGGGCGCTCGGGGGCATACAGGACATGAGCCCCGTCCCGTTTGAGCCCCGTTGTTCTGAGCCCGGACTTGAGCCCCAGCCTGAGCCCGGGTTGAGCCCCAACTTGAGCCCCGACCCAAGCCCCAATATCCAGAGCCCGGATTGAGCCCCGTTTGGGCCCCATTTGAGCCCGGTTTGAGCCCCGTTAGAGCCCCGTGGCCGAAAATAACTATTTTTAGGGGTTCCGACGAAGGAGGACCCCTATTGCCCGGGGCTCAGAATTCTTCTTCTACGGACCCCCCACGATGGACATTTCGCTCCCGCCATATTAATCCTTTTCATAATACAATAAAAAGTCCAGAAAATCTAAAAAATTTATCGTAGAAATTTTCCGTAAACGACTAAAACATAAATTTGCAACAATCAAGCACCCTTATCCGTTCACATTTTCCAGAAACGTTTCGAAGAAAAAATGTGCCACTCCTCAAAACTAAACTTCCTGCCTCATCAAAGTGACAAAAACTAATCACTGTTCTAAGAAAATGATAAAAACATGAAGAAAAAGTCTCCATGACAACGTCTCACTGCCATCGTACCAACTGTCAAAATTTTAAGTCCCTGATAAAAAGAAATGAAAACGCCGTAAAATTCGAAAATGCCAATGTTCACTCATTGCACACTGACAAGACATTTAAACATCATTCAAATCTGTCATTAGTAAAAGGTTCGCAGCAGAAAAGACAGAATAAATAGATTTTCGGGGGTTGGCAACAATTTTCCCGGCGTCTGCGCCCTTTCGAAAATCGCGAGGCTGAAAAAAACAAGTAGTCGCACATTGAAACTGCCTCTCCATTGTTGCTGAGGTTGGGTTGTTTGGCTTGCTTTTAAAGGCTGCGGTTCTCTCTCAGCCCCAAAATATAAAATTTACTCCCTTCTTCGTATTTCTAACTTCAAATCTTCTTTCATTAACTTACATTATTTCCACAACCGGAACACCGTGCAATGCGTAAGCATTGGAATTTTTGAAGACTTTTTGCATGATTTTTTGCCACGGGGCTCAAATGGGGCTCAAGTGGGACTCAAATGGGGCTCAAACGGGGCTCAGGTCGGGGCTCAATCCGGGCTCTGGATATTGGGGCTTTGGTCGGGGCTCAAGTTGGGGCTCAGGTCGGGTCTCAGACTATCGGGGCTCAAACGGGACGGGGCTCATGTCCTGTATGCCCGCTCGGGCTCGGCGGAGGGCGGTGCAAGCAACAGCTCGGCACGGCTAGTACCAGTACCAACACTGGCCAGCTCGCTCGGGTCTATGTATTTTGTTTCATACACAGTTTTAAATACTATCTTTGGAATGAGCCCGCATACTACCCCGTATAAGAAAACCAAACGAATATCATCTGCTTTCATTAACATTCACACTACAAACCTAACTGTCTACTAAGTACACACTTACAAATGCGTGCTTGCAAGAAACAATCAGCTTGTCATACACATACAACGTCATACACTTTCACATGCGAAATGGTTAATGGCATGCGTTTGTAAGTGTGTACTTGCAAGCATGCATTTGTAAGTGTGTACTTGGCCAAGCATGCGTTTGTAAGTGTGTACTTGCAAGCACGCATTTGTAAGTGTGTACTTAGTAGACAGTTAGGTTTGTAGTGCGTTGAATGAGATTTTTCTCATTAATGACGTATTTGTGTAAGCAACAATAATACTTAGTATTTTCTAAGTAAGTATAACTTTTTTCATTATTATTATTTTTTCAACAAAAAATATATGTCCACAGGGCACTAGGCCCTGATTTGGACTTTTACATGTACAAAAGAAATTTAAGATCAGGATTTTCCTTTGAAAAATTATATACAAAAGTAAATAGTCAGTACATAGATAGTATTTCCTGAGTAGTTCTTTATGAAAGGAAAAGTACGTATTATGGTTGCACGGTGGACGCCGAAAGGGGCTGACTGGGGGTAAAGTGCGCGTTGCCGAATGCGCCCTCCCACTCAGCCTATTTCGGCCCCCACACTGTTATCCAAGTTGCGATACTTTCAACACAAAAACGTGCGATGGTATCCGAAATGTGATTCCCACGAATCATTGCTCCTGAGATGCAATGACTTCTGTATCGATCAAAATTCTGCAATGATCATCGCAGCTTTCTGCAATGAAAATCTGAATTATTGCAAAAAAACTGCGATGATGACAACACAAAATCTGGAATCATTGCAGTTTTTCGCAATGATCATTGCAAAATTCTGCGATACAGTAGCTCATCACACCTTTCAGCAATGTTCATCACAGAAAAGTGCGATGAAAATTGTATTGCGCAGAAAGTGTGGTCTGTATCGCAAGTGAAATAACAGTGCACCACCGCCCTGCACAGCCGCACAACACTCTTTAGTTTCTCCCGCACTGGATTTCCTCCGAAGTACTCTACACTGCAAGAAAAATATCACAACAAACCTTCGATAATTCCTGACATTAAAAAAAAACAGGGGTAGATTGTACTTTAAAGGTACAAAAATTTTTTTTGTACAAAGTACATTGGAACCGGCATGGCAAGTACATTCCAGCCCATGCTTAGCTGTACTACTATCCTCGTTAGGCCTAAATTGAGAGCGTATTAAGAGTCATGTCGAGATATATGTATTTTCGATGTAGATTTTACCCTTAACTGCTAGGAATTAAGTCAAATGATTCGGCGCAATGATGTATACCATTTTAAGGCACAAAAATAAAATATAAACCCAGTTGGAAGATAAGGTTAAGTAAAATTGTTCCCCTCTTTCGCTTGCCGAAGTCAAGTGTCTCACAATGAATTGGCACGTTTTTTTACTCGTTCTTTACACCCTCATTTCAAAATTTAGGTTAATGTGAAGAGAACGAGTATTGTGCTCAAAATCGGTTTTTGTTAGCTACATGATTCAACTCGCTATGCACACAAGGAAAACCATATGTAATGTACTCATTTGAAAGATCAAAGCCTCATCTTTAAATCGTAAATGAAGTATTTTTCATTTCACTATGAAAGCTTTTGAGCAAATGAAGATTGAAAATGTTTATTAAAACTGGCTGGTGTCTAGTAATGAGAGGATATAACACTTCGTTTTTTCGTGATTCATATCGAATTTGCATGTGCCATAGCAAAAATCCACCTCCCTGTGCTTTGTTTAACATTTTTCATTTGAGTATTATCTCTCTTAGCAAACAAACATTTAAAATATCTGCAGTTTTTCAACCTTCCTTTGGACGGCCTTCCGCTAACATCGGCGACCCGTGGCGCCACCACACGGATTTCAAACGAACTACTGTAATGGCGGTAGATTTTGAACGTACTTACATTTCGAGCTAAACAATAATCCAACCACCTGGCCACTTTTGATAACCACTAGACATCCTTCATTCACAAAAAAATGTGTAAAGAACGAGTCATTTATTTAATATCAATTCATTGATATTTCGCACCATTCCTTTAAACTTTTTTTCTTTACTTCTTGTTTTTTTTTGTTTTGTTTTTTTTGTTTTTTTAAACCTTTAAATGTAAAACCTCTTTGTTTCAAAACTTTAGAACTGTAGCCAACTACTGTTTGCCCCGCACATTTCGAGACAAGAAAATAATTACATACGTCACAAGTGCTCGAGCACCCTTCATGGCCACCGATCGGTTGCGACGACCAACTTTCACTTCAATCTTCTTCCCGTTTCTTCGTCACCTACCCATGGTAGCAGAAATTTGTTATAAAAGCAAGCATCCGCTCCATTCCAGTTCTCCAACGTTTGCCAAGGACTTTGAGGTCTCCCAGGGCCCGTGGACGGAACACGTAGCCAATGTCGTCGCCATGACCTGGTACTGATAATAAAGGGCATTGATTTAAGGATTATGCATTTGGGATAAGCGTAGGAAGTATAGGAACTTTGGGACGCCCTCCCCTCATGTGATTTGAACTAGGGATATCCGTAGCACTGAAAACTATTGCCGAACTTTTATTTTTCTGTGGGTGAGTAATGCCTTCCAAGCCAAATTATTGCATTTCTTTTGGAGCGCCAATTTTTGGCGTCCTGATTTGTGGTGCTCTAGGGAATGGAACGCCAAATTTGGGCGCTCTATATGTAACGCCAAAATTTGGCATGGAATCCGGAAACCAGGGATGGGAACGCCAAATTTTGGCCAGCCATAGTGAGCGCCAGTCCAGTGGCGGGGAAACTTGCCACTGGATTTGCGGTGGTAACAAACATTATGTTTTTGTTCGTTTTATTTGAGGAGGGAGGGGGCAAAATGTTGTTATTTCGACGTTGCTGATTGCATGTCTTACCTTTTACGTGGGGCGGCATATTCAAGAAGACAGAAAGCAGGTTGAAGGCGTCCAGCACAAAATGGTAGCGGTACACCGGTACGCGGAGAGCGTGCCACGCTGCGCTGATTTGAATACCGTGCAGCAGAGACTCGTCTCCGAATATCTGTGTCAGACAGAGATTGCCAAATAAGTCGAAATGTCACGTGAAACAGGCCGTGTAAAAGAGTGTGACAAAAATTTTCTCATGTTCGGCAGAATTTTCACAAAGTTTTAGACAATAAACATCATTATGCTGAAGAGCGCCTGCTTCGAAATCTTTGCGATGTTTTATAGTGTCGCCAAAATTTGGCAATAGGAATTTATGAGCTAGTCCCCTAGAGTAGTTAAAAGATCACTGCAAAATTTTGGCGATTCTTTTATTTGCCACCTCTTAGGAGCAGTTGCCAAAATTCGGGGCACTTTTGAAGGCCATAGAACCGCAAGAAAAAAATGTGGAAAAGTCGGCTTTTTTCTCGGCCAATATATTCAGTGATGTCCCACGACTTATATCTGAACGCAGTCGAGCTCCCGGTGCAATACTGCAGAAAGACCAAAAAGCCCCTATCAAAAGTATAGGGGAAAGACACGGAACGCAGGGTTTATACAAAAAAATAGTGAGAATTTCCCTGACTTTTCCCTGATTTCCCTGACGCGAAATTGCAAATTTCCCTGACATTTGAGCGCATCAAAACATTGATTGAGTTGAACTCGAACGGCCGGTGTTTCGCGCTCTCCTCCGCAGTTGTCCAGCAAACAGGTCCAGTGTCGCAGCAAACATATTTTCCCCTGACATTCTGCTGCATTTTGCGAAATTCCCTGACATTTCCCTGATTTCCCTGAACCTATTTTTTTCCCTGACTTTTCCCTGATTTCAAGGTTTTCAAGGTTTGTATAAACCCTGGAACGTTACAGAAAACAGCGGGATACGGAACGTTACATTTTCATTCAAACAGGCCTAGTAACTCTCTTGCTATGAATAAAATACGCCATTTGGTGTGAGCACCTCTTTTAAGATTCCTCAACACGTCCCGAAAGAACCATGTCTCTGTTTGGTCTATAACTTGCCCGGGGAACAGAAAAGCATTTTAAAATCATGGTCGGACACTACCGAAACATAACCTATAAAACAAGATTCTGAGCTTTCTATTAACTTCTACGAGTTCCCGTTTGCACCATTCGACGGCAAAAATGCTACAGATTAATCTGACGACAAGGCCGAGAACTATCAGTGGAGTGCAACGCGAGAAACCGTGATAATTCACATGTAACGTTCCGCAAAGTCAACCACGGAGGACATTTTGCGTTTACAGATTGCACCCAAATCGAGCTCGTAAACACGAGTTCAGTAACATGTATCTGATAGATAAAATAATAAAGTTTCCGAATATCTTCTCAGAATCGTTCTACGTTCCATATTAGCTGAAATATAAGCATCGAAACTTGAATTTATGGACGGGGGACATACCGGAACGTTACAAAATGACCCTTTGGAGCACTTTATCGACATCTTCTGAATTGAAAAAGTGGTGACTTAAGATGGATAAGAGTGGGCGACGTTGAGCCCAACACAACGCACCAAACCGCATCTCAATACGTTGAAAAATAACGATTATAGAGCCAAAAGACACGAAAGATACCCTTATTTTGGCAACTGCTCTTAGATGGTCAATTTATTGTGTGTATTGTGCTTTTTTTGGCGGGTTGTCCTTAGTGGGAGATGCACACTATCTCGAAAGAAAGCCACTGAAAGTATCGTCTTTCGGATTGGGGTTTACTACTGACTCACGTCCACAACCGCGGCCAGCGTCTCATTGTTGATGGGCCGCCCCTGCGTGTACACGTCTCGGATTTGCTGGCCCACTCGACGTCGTTCCGCCTCGTCCAGGACGTTGACCAACGGGCAGGGCACCAGGATCCCCGGGTCCCGTTGCATAGCGTCCACTCCCGATTCCGTGTTCACTGACAAGGACACACAGTTATGGCGGGAACATACTGAAACCAGCTGAAAACTTACACTGCATACTTAGTCCACAATAGTGCGGTACAAAGCTGGTTGTCAATCTGTTCGGTTTTCACCGTACCTCAATCGGCACGATAAAGGGGGTACAGAGCACGGTTTTCTGATACATGTAATCTTATGGGGTGCACGGTTTTTGGGTCCTAAGGTTTGTGAACCAAGATTTCTGTGAAAAGTACGGTTTTTCTCAACAGTGTGACAGCATGGTGACAGGATCAAGCTTAAAAATGAAGATCTCCTTGTTGAAAGTGCGACATAAAATAAGCAAGTTAAACGAGTAATATACTGAAAATAACCGAAGACAGTCTTTTGCTGTTGCTTCGGAATCAATTTGTTGGACGTTATTCAGATTACCCATGCCCAGATTTCCCAGGGCATACCAAGAGGGGCATCTTCAGTCAAGAATGGCGTTAAACGGAGGCGAGGGAGTGAAGCAGCTGCACCCGTAAAATAACCATTTGTTGTACCAACGAAAATGTATGTTGATTTTGGGGCATTTTGGGAAATCTAGCCGCCTTTCTCAACATCCAGTGCCAAGATTTTAAGAAAAGTAACTTGAAAAGTCTGCCCTTCTCGCCCTGCCCCATCCCACGACGGGCGCCGTGTCAGATATTGAAACATACATTTCGCGAAGATAATATTATATGGGGAAATATATGCATTATATATTAACGGGCAACAAGATATACCCCCATATACAAACCACGTATAGCGCAAGATAATTTGCAATATATTGCACTGTGGCAAAAAGGTAAGGGAGTATGGGGCGATTTGTAACAGATTTCGGAATTCTCTATACAAAATAAAGAACATTCTGCATATCGGTGTCAAACTTGTGCCAGTTGAGCAGTCTGGCCCTTCATTTAGACTGTGCAGCTCCATTGGATCAATCTGGAGTCCGTAATCTTTGAAATCTAAGACGTTTTCCAAACCCTTGCATGCTGTTACGAATCGCCCCAGCATGGGGTGATTTGTAACAGCCATGGGGCTTTTCATAACATCCTACACATTAAATGAAACATCGTCGGGAATGATATCTCCTCCACCAGTTGTTCTTTGGGTGTCCTGCAGACGTCTAAAAATCTACATTGCAAGCTGCCGTTGACCGCCTCAGCATTAACTGATCGGCTATGTCAATCCTAACCTCACTTTTTTCAATTTTAGATGAAAGAATAGAATAACTCGCTTTAAAATGCATTTCGAGCTGTGTAAATGAATTGGAATAAGGCAGCAGATGATTCGAGAAATAATTCAAGCATTTAATTGCAAAAACTACTTAAATTCTTGTTTTTTATACATGTCTGTTACGAATCACCCCAAATGCCTGTTACGCAAGAAATACGTCCCTAACTATCACTGGACAAAGTAAAAGCAACTTATGCCACGTTGTTACATTGTAAAGGGGTCACGCTTCAAGGCCCCAACGGTACTTCGATGGTGATTCATACCTGGAGAGCCTCAGACAGAAACTTCCTAGAACTCAAAATAAAAGATTTTTCCTGTTTGCCGAAATTTCGGTGTACCCTATATTTCAGACGCCCTCCAAAACTATACCTGAGCACCGATCACATCCGCTTCGATTGTTCAAGGACCCTGTACTTCAAGCGAAAGAGGGGCCATACTCAGATTTTCCTCTGCTCCCTCCACTTAAATTAATAAACGCATTTGTTACGAATCGCCCCTGTTACAAATCGCCCCATACTCCCTTACGGAAAATACTGTTCATTTTTTTGCCAGGATTCTCCGTAGCCCTCTTATCAATATTCTCCCTAGGCTCCCTAGGGCCGTACAGTATTCTCTGTAAGTCCGCACAATCTTCTCCGTAGGACCTGGACGACTGTATAGTCCTACGGAGATCACTGTAAGGTCCTGCGGAGAATACTGTGCGGTCCTACGGAAAATACTGTAAGAGCCTACGGAGAATACTGACAAGGGGGCTACGGAGAATCACCACAAGCTGTTCACAGGATTTTCCGTAGCTTTTTGCCACAGCGTGAGCAAGATACAATTATAATGACAATGCATGAAACATATATGGAGTCATATATTGACACATATTTTCCATTTATTTGTTCCATAGATAGTACACCTAACAACCGTTTCTTTTGCTATCCCAAAATCAACCTACATTTTCGCTGCTCAAATTTATTTGTCAGTATTACGTAGAAAAAGCTGAAGTAAAGGACCTGGTCCAAAATTTTTTTAGCTCGTCAAAAGCTTTTCTGAGCGAAAAGAATCAATCCGGACCACTGAGCCCCACTGCACCATACCTCATTTAGAGTCGATTGGTTTCTGTCCGCTGCATGCCAAACTTACACATGAAGAAAAGTGTGCCTTCGCGAAAATTACTGCCGATGATCATGGGCACCTTGTTGTACCGGCCGGCCACGAGGAGGTCGTTGGGATCCTCGGAGAAGAAAGCGGGTTCCCCTCCGTTCACTGGCTCAACCACGGCGCGGCAAGGCAGGTTCGGTACCAGCTGCTGCCAGTCCTGCGAAAACACATTCAAGGTCATTGTCAAACGGGAAAAACTTACCATTTACGCTGACAGGGGAACTTTTTTTCAGTTCTGCAGAACTCTATGCATGCCCACACTGAAAAACCAAGCGTGATCTAGACTGCACCAACTGGTGTGATCAAATGGGTGCCATTTTGACCACATCAGTTGGTGCGGTCTAGACCGCACCAAACGTGGCCAAACGTGGTCTAGACCACACCAACTGATGTGGTCAAAATGGTACCCATCTGACCACACCAGTGGTGCGGTCTGGACCACGTTTGGTTTTTCAGTGCATGTATGCAGTTATTGCCGAGTACATGCTACATATACAATTGGTTCTGACTAAATACCCTATTGATTAGATGTGCCCGCGAGAAGATAGGTGAAGGGGTCAAACGTCTCTCTGTGGCTATTTATTTCTCAAGGTCAACGAAAGACGATGCGAATTTATCAAATGCACGGGACACACGAGTGATCATCTGACAGAACAACGTATCTTTATAGGGAATCCCATCGTAGATGCGCTGTTATGTACGAATGCCACACACTTAAGGTTGTCTGTATCCCCAAGTTTCCTGTTACTTAGGTCGTATTGCAATCCAGCCAACTAAAACTTACTTGGTCTGTGCCCACCTCTAGCCAGGTGGCGGTCAATATCAATCCTGGAATCGTCCGGAGAAAGTTGACCATGGCAGACGGGCTGCCACTGGGGCCACCATAAAACTTGGTGACACGTCGCACGAGGTCGTAACCCTTGCTTTGGTACACTCCCGACTGGACCGCACTGCTTGATAGTATAGCACCGTGGAAGAGTCCTGAAAGGGATCATAGGGAATGAGGCATCTCGCGTTGTTTTCAGGGACTTCGCGATGGAATTGCTCAGCTTCTACAGGCAAACAACTTCGAAAACTATTGTACAGTTTAAGTACCAGGGACTTTTAATCTACAACAAAAGGGCATTATAACGTTATCCTAAGCGTTTAAGGCCTTACATATAAGTTAGATTAGATGAGCTTGACCATCTTAACCGTTAAACATTTTTTTTTTTTAAGATTTTGTGCTTTGGGTAATTACATTCATATTTTGTTACTATAAATACTTTTTTGAACTGGTAGCCCTTCACTGCAAATTGGATGGAAAGACTTGTGTCAGACCACGGCCTTTAGGCCGTTTGTCCGGCGCATTACGGCCTTTTGGTGGCGGTCTTGGCGAGTTTTTATGTCTACTAGGGTGGGCCGTAAAACACGATTTTTCGATATCGCAAACGTAATAGCGCGCCAAAGTTACTTCATGGCAATTCAAACTCAACGCGATCTGGGCCAGGTCTGTAACTTGAAGCTTGACCCTCGCGCATCGACGTTGAAAATTCGAAAATTTGACTTTTACGGGTTTTTCTAAAAATAGCCATAGAAACTGAACCTGATGTCCAAATGATGTTTCCGAGACGGAAATGGAAACGTCTGATCATGCTTTATCAGTTTAAGACCACCGGGACCCTCTACGAGCAGTAGAGGACTGATAGGAAAAAATTACAAAATTACAATTTTTTTCCGTTTTTTACAAAATGGAAAAATTGCCTTCAGGGTTTGATACGGCCATCCTGACGTCACCGTACCCGAGCCATACCCCGAATCATCTTCTCTAAGGACCCCTTCCCCGTTTTCAGCGCACGGGGTACCCCGGGATCCGGTCACACGTTAGGATATGGACGCCAAAAACACATGTTTTACTAAAAATGCAAATTATCGGTACTCAGGGCACTGTAGGGCCTTCGTCTCGTCCGTATGAACTGTAGTGAATCAAAATCGATTACTAGATGGTGTCTTTGCGTCACAGGCACCTACCAGTATATTGATAATCGGATGGAGAGACCTTTAGAACGCTATTTCCATTGAAGGTTCGGTTAAATCCGTTTTCCAAACATTCGGTTTCCACTGTACTGCTCTTGGCTCGCCCGGAAAATCCGAGACGACTCACCCCTCACCACGAGAAGGTTCAGCACGTCGAGATTCACCACCACCTTACCCACCCAACCACTGGTGGGGCTACGACACTTTTAAAAGGCCGTACATTTCAAGGAAAAAGGTCCGGCTAGACCGTACCACACGATGTACAGAACAGCTGTACCCAAAAACCGTGCTTCCCATGAGATCCTATGTCATGAAAAACCCGTACTCCGTACCCCAAAAGCCGTACTGGCTGAGGTATGGTGGTACCAGGCAAATGTTCTACCAGACTGTGCCTGTATTTTTCCCGTGGATTTCTCCTACAGCGCATGTATAAGTTGACACCTTGATACTGTACGCAGGAGAATGGAGCAAAACGCGAAGGTACAGTACGCCAGAACGAAGGTAAATGTTTACCTGTAAGAAGGCATCACTTCCAAAATTGGTCAACTGGCGTTACATGTCCCTGCGGCTGTCGCAGGCACACTCTCATTCCAGGAACGTGACATCACGTTGAAACGAACGTGACAACATGTCACGTTCGTTTGAGCATTGTGTCACATTCGTTAGAGTGTGAATTGTCCAAAAAACAGCTTGTTCACATTCAAACGAACGTGACACAATGCTCAAACGAACGTGACATTTTGTCACGTTCGTTTCAACGTGATGTCACGTTCCTAGAATGAGAGTGCAGTCGCTCAAATTTTAACGGTATTGAGAAACTACCATAACGAAGACAAACGAAACAGGGGCCTGTCTACGGGGGGCTCAGCTCTACAGCGCACTAAGCGTAAGTATGTTCCCTGGGCCGTTGCAAACGGACATAACGGTGAGAAAGGAAATGAGAATCTACACGATGGATAAGAATAACCCGTATAAACGTGCAACCACCTTCTGTCGTTAATCCAGACGAGCCATTTACGACCTGAAATACGTTTTAAGTCCAGATTAACGAGATTTACAGTGCAAATAGCGTGCTAAAGGTCTCTTCGTCCGATTGTCTATATACTGGTGGGTTCCTGCGACGAAAAGACACCATCTAGCAATCGATTTTAAGTCACTACTGTTCATACGGACAAGACGAGTGCCCTACTGTGCCCTGAGTATCGATAATTTACAATTTTAGTAAAACATGTATTTTTGGCGTCCAAATCCCAACGTGTGAACGGATCACGGGGTACCTTGTGCGCTGAAAACGGGGAAGGGGTCCTTAGAGAAGATGATTCGGGGTATGGTTCGGGTACGGTGACGTCAGGATGGCCGTATCAAACCCTGAAGGCAATTTTTGCGTTTTATAAAAAACGGAAAAAAATTGTAATTTTGTAATTTTTTCCCATCAGTCCCCTACTGCTCGTAGAGGGTCCCGGTGGTCTTAAACTGATAAAGCATAATCAGACGTTTCCATTTCCGTCTTGGAAACATCATTTGGACATCAGGTTCAGTTTCTATGGCTATTTTTAGAAAAACCCGTAAAAGTCAAATTTTCGAATTTTCAACGTCGATGCGCGAGGGTCAAGCTTCAAGTTACAGACCTGGCCCAGATCGCGTTGAGTTTGAATTGCCATGAAGTAACTTTGGCGCGCTATTACGTTTGCGATATCGAAAAATCGTGTTTTACGGCCCACCCTAATGTCTACCCTCTGTCTGTGTAAGTGTTATACTTACAATTTTAACGCTGACTTTATGCAGAAGCCCTTGGAAGACTTGGAAGAGACAAACTTTGCACTGAAGAGCGGCAGAAAAGCCTGGTTCTGGTACTACACGCGGAGCCAGGCAAAAAGTTGCACCTTGACCCGTAATGAGGAAACGTGTGCCATGCGGCATGGCACGATTTGAACCTGTCTCTGGATCGACCCCTGGAGGTTTCTCATCTTACCAGCAGACAGTGGTGACAGGATGTGGTAGTGCACGCTCGCTGCGCCGGCAGACTCGCCGTAAATAGTGACTCTTGACGGGTCACCGCCGAAGGTGCGTATGTTGTCCCTCACCCATCGGAGAGCTTGCACCTGGTCCTTGAGGCCTGCGTTGCCCGGAGCATCTGATGTATTGCTGCTGAGAAATCCTAGGGCAGACGAACGAGTACACTGTGAATATTTTGATCGTCACGTGATGACAATTTCAAGGCCACGCCCATGCAATATGTTGAAGAGCACTGATGCCATTTGAAAATGACGGAAATGTCATCCATGATTTGGTCAGAAAGTGACAGCTAATTTTTACAGTAAAATGATTCAGCGACGGGAGGACCACTACGGTAGCCCACGAAAGACATATTTTTATTCTGGAAAATCGATGAGCAACGTTGTAAGAGGACTAAAAAAAGAAGACAAAAACATTATGCATGGAGCGAACTTTTTCAGGCCACGTTGTAAGAGGACTAAAAAAAGAAGACAAAAACATTATGCATGGAGCCAACTTTTTCAGGCCAAAGTCAACCTTTTAATACATCAAGTTTAGAAGTGCAGTTTTGAGGATGTTGCCTGATAGCGTTTTCAAACCTCCGGCTCAAATATCTTCCGGAACGCTACTGGGAACCGCGATAGGGTACGTTGCTCAGCTGCCAGGGACTTTTCAACAAAATCGTGCATTTTGACGTTTGTAGGCAACTTTCATTATGTTTTCGAATATCGATTAGATTTCTTGGGGCTGCAGTCAGTAGGCCCTGGTTCAATAGGCTTTTGGAGAAGATTTGGTCAGTTTGGTTTCCCAAATGGCACAAGCAGGAAACGCGGAATTTTATAGTAGATTATTTATGGTTTTAATGTACAACTTAGTTTTAATGCAGCACATAATTATGACATAGAACTTAGTTTTAATGCCGCACTGTAGAACTCAGTTACTCTGCAAACTCAACAGTGTACTCAGTACACTCTCTTTAGAGTGTACTCATGAGTACTCTATCTTTAGCGTGTACTCATGAGTACACTCTCTTCAGCGTGTACTCACAAGTACACTCCCACGAACGTGTACTCAGCTGCATGAATTGTGCCGACTTAAGCACACTCTCGTTAGAGTGTACTCAGGTAAGCACACTTTCGTTAGAGTGTACTCAGCTAAGCACACTTTCGTTAGAGTGTACTCAGCTGAGCACACTCTCACAGGAGTGTGCTTATGAGTACACTCCAAATAGAGTGTACTGAGCACTCTGTACAGTTTGCAGAGTACTTTATCTTATTCTAGAACTTAAGGTGAGGTGTGGGTGAAAATTTGCACCAAAATTGATGAAAATGTTAAATTTAATCCACTTGTTATTTTAATGTAAAATATTTCTCTGTTACCGACAGCATGTTCTAAAGGCCTGTGTTATGATCCCCTAAGTGAGTGGTTCATCTAACATGGACTGATGTATGCATGCCTCTTTTCTGGTCACCCAACTCTTATGAGAAGTGTCGAAGAAATTTTTGTTCTACTCCGTGAACTAGCCACGCATACAGTTTTGTTTTATAATGACCATACTTCTTGGAGTGGTTCTTTGTGGTCCATATGACAATGTAACAGATAGTCAGGGCTGTAAGCGGTTGAACCTTGCACTTTCTGACCCCGGTCTGGCGCTTTGCACGGGTGTTCTAGAGACCCAAAATAACGATTTGAGAGTTGGAGGCACCCTGGGGAACGCTGCAGGGACCGGTGGGAAGCAAAAATCTACCTTTTGTAGGAAAAAATCCTATTTAACGCCTAAAAATCAGCCGAAATAGCCGCTGCATGCGTACATCTTGTCAAATGTGGACCTGTTTCTGTCTTCTTGGCTTTACAAATTTTGCTTCAACATGGACCTTCACTTACCAAGACGTAGAAGAGTGTCATATTGTCCTTGGGGAAATATCTTTCAGAATTGTGTACACCAATTAGCGTGAATGTCTGAGGTTGCTCGAGTTCCAAGTCATTTCTTTTGATGAATGTTAGAGTTGTTGCTTGTTTTCTCGGGCCGTTCCCTTATCGGAACTGACACAGTTGACTCAAAACGCATCCTAAGAGAAGGATCATAATTGTTTGCTCTGCGCGAGAAATATTGTAATGTAAGCTCTGAGGGTAGGTAACTGAAGAGAAGACGTAGATGTTAACTGATTAAATGATGCAAAGACAGATCCGATAGACTAGGGGTGTGCGGAGAAATTCTCTACAAATCGAAAAGCGTACATTGAATGCTGTCGCTGCAGCATCCTGCAAGCGCGCTCTAGCTAGCGCATGCCTGTCAAGCATGCACCAACCAAGTGCATACCTGCCATACCTTCCTGGAGCTGACAAGTCTTTATCCCTCATGCACTAGATGTATGCTCAGTTAGTGTGACATGGCAGGTATGCACTTGCTCGTGCGTGCTTGCAGTCATGCTCCAGCTAGAGCATACAATGTACGCATGTCGTTTTGAAGAGATACACACTTCTATGGGAAAGCGCTTGGAAAAGCATAGAGTACTTGCATCGGCGCTCTTGAAGAAAACGCTTTGAACCACGCGCCTCCCGAGATCCGTACTTGTCTTCGTCAACTATGGAAGTGTCCTTGTAACGGCACACACACCGGTGTACCAAGCAAACATTTTACCATTTGCACATTCTGTTGAACGGTTTGGCAAAAACAAACCCCACTTCCTAAATCCATTTACATGGCACTTTTCATGCACCCATTTAATTTAGTCCAACCCATTCTTACGGGTGCAACCCGTTACCCATGTAATGGGTGTCTGAAAAGTACTCATTTGTATGGATTGCACCCATAAGGGTCTAAACCATACAAAGTGTCCAAACTCGGACAAGGCTTGTCATTATTTCTTTTTCAAGAAGGTTTGTCAACCGTGATGGTCGTCACAAACGTAACTTTCGGCGCTTAACCAATGGTGGTGGCCTTGCAGTAGTTTACAAGTACCCCTAAATGGTCGGTGGGTAGCGGGTTTGCCTACTTTGCATCACACTTTTGCCTAACCTAGCAGGCGTTTCTTAAGCGAACCCAAAGAGCTGGGTCTCAATGGGTCCTAACGCATCCAGGATTAAATGGATCAGAACCCATGGTCGAATGTGTTTTGTCTGCTATGGAATGAAAAAACAAAAAAAAACAAAAAAACAACTGTACTTACAAGCTGTCAAGCAAAATAAAAAACTGCATTATTTCTCGGGCCTCGTCAATTTGGCACTGCCAATCCACGTGTGAGACAGTCTCACACTTGTAGGTGTGGGACATTTTGTCTCACGCTTACAAGTGTGAGCCACGTTCTCTCACGCTTGCAAGTGTGAGCAACGTTTGTCTCACGCCTGCAAGTGTGGGACAACGAAGTCGCACACTTCCAAGTGTGGGACACAGCTTGTCCTACACTTGCTGCCTATGCTAGATTTGTGGTTCAATGCCACGGGTCCATCGCCTGCAAGTGTAGGACAAACCGTGTCTCACACTTGCAAGTGTAAGACATCGATGTCTCACACTTTCCAGCGTGAGACAAACGTGGCTCACACATGAAAGCGTGAGAAAAATGTCTCACACCTATAGTCTCACACTTGGATTGGCCGTGTGCAAAGCCGTGTGCCATCCTTCAGAAGAGTAAAAGATTTTTACTGTTTTCTCCACCTTCGACAGTACGCACTTGTAGTTTCTGAACCAGAAGAGTGCCGTTACAAACGGTGTCAAAAGGATTTCATAAAAAAGTGGCAACAGACATGGGCGTCTTTCATCAAAGTAAAATGAAAGAGTCAACCCTTACCACACCAGAAAGGTGATAACAATATTCTCGCGCAGCAAAAACATTATGATACTTCTCTAAGGGTGCGCTTCGTGCCAACAGTGTCAGTTTCGATAAGTGTTCGGCCCCAGAAAACAAGCATCAACCCCAACACACATCAGAACTTTCACGCACCTCAAAGACATTGTAGGTAATTTTGGTGTGCTCATTAGTCAAAGATATTTCCTCAATGACATAATGACACTCTTCTACGTCTTGGTTACTGAAGGTCGATGATGAAGCAGATTTGTAAAGCCAAAGACAGAAAAGGGTCCACATATGACGAGATATACGCATGCAGCGGCGATTTCGGGAATTGTAAGGCGTTTCATACGAATTTGTCCTACAAAAAGTAGATTTTCGCTTCCAGCTGTTCCTGCAGCGTTTCCCAGAGTGCCTCCAACTCTAAAATCGTTATTTTGGGTCTCTAGAACACCCGTGCAAGCGCCAGACCGGGTCAGAAAGTGCAAGGTTGGTTCCAATCTGTCGCTTACAGCCCTGACTAAGAGACATATTTCAAATAGCTATCCACTTTCTTAAACCATTTACCTTAAAGAGGTAAAAAAATAGAGAAAACAACTTATTTTTTCCAATTAAAAAAGTTGTGAAGTATGCTCAGTCAAAACAAAAAAATTAAATTCAAATATCTCTCTGTTACATTGAAGTATAGGGGTTTAGGTAACTGCAAAACAAATTTCAGATCATTCCGTCAAAAAACTTTGGATGGCTGATTTTTTTCTCCTACGTAAACGCTTAATCACTGTGGCAAAAAGCTACGGAAAATCCTGTAAACAGCTTGTGGTAATTCTCCGTAGCCCCCTTGTCAGTATTCTGCGTAGGCTCTTACAGTATTTTCCGTAGGACCTTACAGTGATCTCCGTAGGACTATACAGTCGTCCAGGTCCTACGGAGAAGACTGTGCGGACTTACAGAGAATACTGTTCGGCCCTACGGAGAATATTGATAAGAGGGCTACGGAGAATCCTGGCAAAAAAGTTAACAGTATTTTCCGTACCTTTTTGCCACAGTGATTTCAATGAAAAAAGTCTACTGTGGCTAAACGGGTGGGTAGATTTGGATGAAATTTGGTGTGTAATAGTTTCCTACCTAGTACTTAAACGCCCTACAGTTTTGACCACCATAGCAAATTGGTATAGAAGTTTCCATTTTCACCCACATCTCCCCTTAAGGGGGGACATCACTCCGAAAATAGTGCTTTTGTAAAATCGTCATAAAAACCAAACGGAAAGAGAAAAATTGTTCATATTTTAACAGACGAAGTATAAAACAACACTAAGTCAATCCGCCAGGGCAGTACAGCGCTTTCGTTGAAAACCCATTTTTGAGTGTGAGGTTAGATCATTTCGCACGGTTGCAGCGCTGGACGCCAAATGGTTTGACCTAGAACAACGTAATTTGGTGACAGCCTTCGTGAGATGTCTGGCTATGGTGGGTACCTCAATCACATTTAAAAAATCATTTTAAGTTGTATTTGTTTTATGCCAAAAAAAAATTGTTCAAATAACAAAAATTGACCAATGCAAATTATTTTGGTACTCACCATAGCGGCATGTCGTAGGAGCTTCCATGCTTAATCTCCCCACTGTAGCTAAAAAACTGCGCCCTAGAGCCCTGCAACCGTTTGCAATTTCATGTTCCGAGAAAAACGCGATCAAAGTTGGGGAAACTGGGCTTTTCCCCTATGCATATTTGCGGCCCACAGCCTCCCAAAACTGCAATTTTTTGAATTTCGGAATGCGGTTTTCGCCATTCGACGCAGAAAAGAATGGTCTATAGTATAAACAAATAAAAAAAGGAGCGATTTTTTATCATTTTGGAGTGATGTCCCATCTTAACTCAAAACGTGGGTGTGGCATGAAACCGAACCGGAACGATGCCATTCTGCCGAGGGGTGAATCACTGGTGTACTCATGTGTACAAATTAGTCCGTACTCAGTGTACTCACAAGTTTAAAAGGGGCGAAAATCTCCAGTTTGTCGACCGATTTGCCGTTGAGTGCCGTTTAAAACGCTAAATAAAGCCTTAAAACGTTCACAAATGTGAAATTTATGAGTAAAATATGGTGTACTCACCTGTACTCATGTACTCATGTGTACACCAGAACGCCGAGTGATTCACCCGTCGCATTCTGCACTTGATTGCTACAATGTATATATACTCTTCGGTCAAAAGATGTCATCAGCTTACCAAAGATTCCCAGACGATAGTTTGGAACCACTACCACTAGGCCGCGGTCCATTAGGAAGTCGGGCCCGTACATCAGGCTAGTGCCACTGCCAAATACGAGCGCACCGCCGTGGAAGAAGACGAGGACGGGCAGCAAGGACTTGGCCGGCAGGTTGACCTATGTACACCGGAGACCGCGCACCACACCGTCATAACTTCGCAGTGTTTTGCATGAACCGGTTACCTATGAAGCCAAGGGTCTACGGGCTGGGCCCTTGAGGAGGCGCTTCTAGCTGATGAACCAATTCCAATGCGCCCGATGGACGCCCACCACTCCAGAAACTGAAGAGAGTGCATGCTAGGCCTGCGAAGAGTTGGTTTGGGGATTACGTTGATTCGAATCACTTTAGAGACGTTGATATGGACCTAAACGTGCTCTAGAAACTCAGGGACTCCCTCAGGGAGTGAACCACACAGCACACCTTCATACTGGGAGCTAGCGCAAGCACGCTCTTCCCACACAGTAAATTCTTATGCACTCGTGTGAATTTTGTCAGAATGTCAGAAACAAGTCTAAAAATCCCAATAAAAATTCACGCACCTCTCACTGTTAAAAAAAATTACTGAAAATTCATAATTTTTTGTAAGAAGTCGATTTACTTACATTCAGTCTGAATTTTCATACAAAAACTTTCATACTTCGCGGTCTGAAAGTTTCAGACGACGTTAGTCTGAATTTTCAGATCAACATGTTGTATGAAAAATGATACCAGTCGGTCTATTTTATCAGACTAAGTTGTAGGAAGAATATGAACACTCTACAAATCAAAGAGTGTACATGGTACGCTCTAACTGGAGCATGCCTGCAAGCACGCTCTAATTAGCGCATGCCTGCCAAGCATGCATTAACTAGTGCATACATGCCAGGTACACGCTAACTGAAGCATACATTTACTGCATAAGGGATAGGGAGTTATCTGCATCAGGAAGCGTGTACATGGCATGTATGCACTAGTTAGTGCATGCTTGGCAGGCATGCGCTAGCTAGAGCGTGCTTGCAGGCATGCTCCAGTTAGAGCGTACCATGTACACTCTTTGATTTGTAGAGCAGTCGCACTAAACAATGCCACTCTGTAGAGTAGAGCTCAATACGGCGAACTTTTGCCATCGGTTTATCGTACACGCTCAGCGGATCGTCTCGGCACAAAAATTAGGTACACGGCAGTAGACTCCTACGTGCAAAGGTAGTGAAGAGGCTAGAGGTGACTGCTGAATTGCGAGGGAGAGCGGCCTTAGCCTAACCACGCGCCGACCCGTGGCCATGCGCGAGAGTGACATTGTATTCTTTGTTATTTAGCTTATACTGCACTTATGAACCTGAATCTTGCTTTGGTGCGCTCATGCCCTTTCAGACAATCACTTGGAATAAGTTTGTAACAAAATATTCGCAATTTAGCCTTCAAGTGGCAATTTTAGCTCCAAAAGATCGTCCATGCGACACTAGCGCCACCCAGCGGATAGAGCAATAAGTGTCCATTTCGGAGCTCTGAAACATTCTCTATGCTTTTACGACACTAAACGTAAATATTATTTGAAATACAACAGTAGTATTGATAAAAGTTCTGAGAAAATCGAAAAATGTACAAAGGGGACGGGGTTTTTTCACTCGTTTTCCGATTTCACAAGTATGAATTTAGTTTTCGGACGACAATGTACAAAACTTGATAACCATCGCTCTAAATATTCAGACTTGCTAGTCTAAATTCAACTTTCAGACAACAGGTCAAACTTTTCAGACAGTTGGTCTTAATATTCGTACCATTTTATGAATTTACGATTCAGACCACCAAGTAAGACGAAATCAGTCTGAATTTTCATATTTTTTTAACAGTGAAGCAGATAATTCATATCAAAGGCCGGGCTGGTAAGCGTCATTTTATTTGCGATGACTTTTGTCCCTAGTGTTTGAGTGTTTTTAGGGGTTCCCAAGAACCCCTATTGTCCGAGGTCCGTGGATTCTTTCCCCCCCCCCCCCTCTCCGATTTTCAAATAAACAACGCTAAACTATTTCAACCATGGAAAAAACGAAAATTCCAATTTATTTCGAAAATTCATCGTGGAAATTTTCCGTAAACTAGAAAAACATAAATTTGCAACAATCGAAAACGAGAACCGTTAATGATATGAAAAAAAGGTTCAAATAAAAAATGTGCCACTCCTCAAAACTAAACCTCCTGGCTCATCAAAGTAACAAGAAATCGTCTGTGTTCTGAGCAAATGGTTAAAACATGAAAAAAAAATCTCCATGGCAACGGCATGGTCCCATCGTGCCACCCGTCAAAATTTAAAGTCGCCGATAAAGAGAAATCAAAACGCCGTGAAATCCGAAAATGCTAATGCTAACGCATTGCACGATGTCCCGACGCTGGAACATCTTAAAGTCTGTCACTAGTAAAAAGTTCGTAACAGAAACGACGCATCAAATTTATTTTCGTGGGTTGGCACCGATTTGCTTGCCGTCTGCGCCCTTTCGAAAATCACGAGGCTGAAAAAACGAGTAGGCGCGCATTGAAACTGCCCCTCCATTGTTGCTGAGGTTGGATTGTTTGGCATGCTTTTAAAGGCTGCGGTTGTCTTGTCATGTTTTCCTCAATTCTGTAGAACAGTTCTTACTCACAACGTAAAAACAGCACGATGGATCGTTTGACAAACTTCATAAACTCAGGAGGACTGATTTCGGAGCGCGGGTGACTTTCGTTTGGCGAACATGAGCACTGTAAGTCGCGAGATGGTGCGAGGTGGTCATGGTGTTAACTGAATCAGGTTTGACCAGAGCTCTTTTCTATTGGTTAGTTTGAATATAGCGCATGCGCACTTAAAAATTTTTGGATTTTCTCATAATTATTGAACAGTTGACACTGGCACGGTCCAATACATGGCTATTTCAAAATAGCCAAATGTGAAAATCACTGGTTTTTTGACAAAGAGGCGTAAGTCCACTGAACCAAATTTTTCAGGACGGCCAAAAAACATACAGTTTTTAGCTCCTAAGATCTATAAATTCCCACACAACACTCAAATTTTTGTGACAAATTCTTTGAGAAAGTGTGCATCTTTTGGTAAAAATCTCATGTGTGTAACTCTTTTGTAACTCCTACAATGTCAGAAAAACCCTTCCAAATGAGGTGTGATTTTTGACAAAGAGGCGTAAGTCCAGGTGGATTTTTGACAAAGAGGCGTAAGTCCAGGTGGTTTTTTGACAAAGAGACGTAAGTCCAGGTGGATTTTTGACAAAGAGGCGTAAGTCCAGGTGGTTTTTTGACAAAGAGGCGTAAGTCCAGGTGGATTTTTGACAAAGAGGCGTAAGTCCATTAGCCATTCTGACAAACAGGCGTAAGTCCATAGGCCATTCTGACAAACAGGCGTAAGTCCACAGACTATCCCGATAAACTAGTTCTGATTTGTAATTAACCACTTACGAATGTCCACAGCTAATGTGGTGAAAATGGCGAATGTCCACTCATGAGGTCACAGAGTGGTTTGCAACATGTCAACACTGTTTTAATCAAATAATAATGACTAATGGTTCCTCTCATCTCAATCCCATCAGGCTAACAATACATATCTCAAAACGGACTCTTAAATATTTGCAAGGGGTATCAGATCTAAAAGACCAGCATTCTTCGTCACCTGAGTCCGATGATGATGGTGAAACCAGAGTCCGATGACGATGGTGAATGTTGCATTCGTCTTCTTAGGCAGCACTTGGCCTAAAAGTCATGGGCCCAACACAGAGTGTGCTACATGGAGGTTATCAGCATGGATGAGTCCAGGTTCTCACCTGCTGCAGAAGATTAATGCGCCAATCACCATCTCCACCGGACTCCGGTGAGGAAGAATGCTGCTCTTTTAAATCTGATTACCCTCGCAAAGATGTAAGAGTCCATTCTGAAATACGTATTGTAAGCCTGATGCGATTGAGATGAGAGGAAACGTTACACTTCAAACCTAACTGTCTACTAAGTACACACTTACAAATGCATGCTTGCAAGTCCACACTTACAAACGCATGCTTCACGCATGGAGTTATACGGCGCCAGGGATGCGTTTGTTAGTGTGTACTTGCAAGCATGCATTTGTAAGTATGTACTTGGCCAAGCATGCGTTTATGTGTACTTGGAAGCTTGCATTTTTAGGTGTGTACTTAGTTGACAGTTAGGTTTGCACTGTAGTCATTATTATTTGATTGGAACAGTGCTCACAAGTTGCAAACCACTCAGTGACCTCATCAGTGGATAGTTGATTGGGATGGTCTGTGGACTTATGCAACGGACTTACGACTTAAGGTCCATGGACTTACACCTGATTGTCAGAAAGCCCTAAGGACTTACGCCTGTTTGTCAGAATGTTCTATGGACGTTCGCCTGTTTGTCAGAATGACCCATGGACTTACGCCTGTTTGTCAAAATGGCCTGTGGACTTACGCCTCTTTGTCAGAATGGCCAATGGACTTACGCCTCTTTGTCAGAATGGCCAATGGACTTACGCCTCTTTGTCAAAAACCCACCTGGACTTACGCCTCTTTGTCAGAATGGCCAATGGACTTACGCCTCTTTGTCAAAAAACCACCTGGACTTACGCCTCTTTGTCAAAAAACCACCTGGACTTACGCCTCTTTGTCAGAAAACGGGTGGACTTACGCCCCTTTGTCAAAAATGGAATGGACTTTGGACACCTTCTGTATCTTCTGAACTAATTGAGATATTTTCATTTTTCAAAAACCAGTAGGCTTGTTCTTTAATTTTAAATTCTTTTCTGAAAAAAAGTGGATTTTGCCAATTTGTGGACTTACGCCCCTTTGTCAAAAAACCAGTGAAATGGGAACACCTTTTACTCTGTTTTAGGCTTTTGGTGAATGAGGTTTACTAGTACAATTTTAAAGAAATAAACGGCAAAAGTCAAAAAAAGATGTATTTCATTTTCCCTGCTTGCATCTTTTATTCTGTTTTCCTTCTCTGCAGCCTGCTCCGTTGGGGACGGACCAACCAGGCTCTCCTGGAAAAGTACCTACAAGACCGCACATCACTGCCTGCTTGACTAGGCGAAGGCTGTTCACACGTCACGCCCACGTATTTCTTGGTGCGAGGGCGGACATTTTTTTCTGCTCGTGACTGGGTT